CACTCGCGGAAAAATACAGGCACACAGATGCTTTTGGATCATCATCATCGGTAAGCAGCTGTTTATTCAGTCATGTATACTACTACTTATTGTCTAGGAATGTTTTTTTGTATTGGGTTTTAAAGCAGTTTATTTCAATTAATGATTTTTTTTGTTTAGTTGCCATAGAGTACGGTACTTATTTCCACTTGTGATGTTGTCTATTTGTGGTTTCCGTGTAGCTAACCCCATTACTTTGGTAAGTGCTTAAGTTTCGAATATCGCGGTTGTGGAACGTAGCCACCCGCGGATATATTCACGGCTTCCCCTGTACAACTTTGCGGCGATTACTAGTAAGACCCCCCCCCCACTCCATTTCCACCGTCCGTCCCGTTCTTCATCCCCACTGGCACGGAGGCTTCGCGTGGCCCCCCTCGTGTCGGACATCGGCTTTGTGTTAACGCTGCCGCTTCCGCGTGACCCTTGACCCCCCACCCCACCTCTCCTCCTCAGCTGGAGTCCGAGTTTGCGAACGTCGACGGGGAGCAAATCGTGACGGTCGTGCTCATCCGGTAACGACGCACGCGCACGGCAACAATCCACGCAACCGCACACACGTACACAAAGACAAAAGTTCTCCCCCCCGGCGTAGCCCGTGCAGGCCGTCGGGGCAAGTGCCGTCAGCAAGCCGGCACGGCGCCACTAGTGGGTTGGTAGTGGCCGGCCACCACGCACGGCCCAGTCCTGGTGCTGTTTACACACGCGCGTGCGTGCGTGCGTGCGCGGGCACGTACACACACACGGCGCCAGGCACTCAACTAAGGCTGAGTCGACGTAGGGGAGGGCCCAGGAGCGGTTCAGATACCGGCTAGCGGCAATGGAACTCCCGTAGCGCGGTGGCGCTAACCGTCGCGCCACCGCTCCCCACAGCGCACGCGCGCTGTTTTCCGCGTGTTGGCGTCGCTCACTCGAGCGGTTCCCCCCCCCCCCCTCTCTGCCGCCCCTCTCCCAGGCTGGTGTTTGGTCACGTGATGGTGGACGTGGACGTGCAGTCGGAGGGCAACGCGGACGAGGCGCAGGTGGCGGCCGTGCTGTGGCGCGCCGTGCGCACCGGCGACATCGCCAATTACCGCGTCTCCACGCAGGGCTACAGCTTCCGGCGCATCGGTCACGGTACGGCACACGCGGCTCGCTCGCCATGGCACGCTCACCAACCATGGCACATTTCACCCTCACCATGGCACACTTACCACGGTGCACTTACCATGGCAGATGAGATGATGGAGTCTCCTTGTCGATAATGCTGTCGTTGCGTGTGTGATCGTCACTGCGTGTGTGATCGTCACTGTGTGTGTGATCGTCACTGTGTGTGTGATCATCACTGTGTGTGTGATCATCACTGTGTGTGATCATCACTGTGTGTGTGATCGTCACTGTATGTGATCATCACTGTGTGTGATCGTCACTGTGTGTGTGATCGTCACTGTGTGTGTGATCATCACTGTGTGTGATCGTCACTGTGTGTGTGATCGTCACTGTGTGTGATCGTCACTGTGTGTGATCGTCACTGTGTGTGATCATCACTGTGTGTGTGACCGTCACTGTGTGTGTGATCGTCACTGTGTGTGTGACCGTCACTGTGTGTGATCGTCACACTGTGTGTGTGATCGTCACTGTGTGTGATCGTCACTGTGTGCGTGATCGTCACTGTGTGTGATCGTCACTGTGTGTGATCGTCACTGTGTGTGATCATCACTGTGTGTGTGACCGTCACTGTGTGTGTGATCGTCACTGTGTGTGTGACCGTCACTGTGTGTGTGATCGTCACTGTGTGTGATCGTCACTGTGTGCGTGATCGTCACTGTGTGTGATCGTCACTGTGTGTGTGATCGTCACTGTGTGTGTGATCGTCACTGTGTGTGATCGTCACTGTGTGTGTGACCGTCACTGTGTGTGATCATCACTGTGTGTGTGATCGTCACTGTATGTGATCATCACTGTGTGTGATCGTCACTGTGTGTGTGATCGTCACTGTGTGTGTGATCATCACTGTGTGTGATCATCACTGTGTGTGTGATCGTCACTGTGTGTGATCGTCACTGTGTGTGATCATCACTGTGTGTGTGACCGTCACTGTGTGTGTGATCGTCACTGTGTGTGTGACCGTCACTGTGTGTGTGATCGTCACTGTGTGTGATCGTCACTGTGTGTGTGATCGTCACTGTGTGTGTGATCGTCACTGTGTGTGTGATCGTCACTGTGTGTGTGATCGTCACTGTGTGTGTGACCGTCACTGTGTGTGTGACCGTCACTGTGTGTGTGATCGTCACTGTGTGTGTGACCGTCACTCTGTGTGATCGTCACTGTGTGTGATCGTCACTGCGTGTGACCGTCACTGTGTGTGTGATCGTCACTGTGTGTGTGACCGTCACTGTGTGTGTGATCGTCACTGTGTGTGTGACCGTCACTGCGTGTGTGATCGTCACTGCGTGTGTGACCGTCACTGCGTGTGTGACCGTCACTGCGTGTGTGATCGTCACTGTGTGTGTGATCGTCACTGTGTGTGTGACCGTCACTGCGTGTGTGATCGTCACTGTGTGTGTGATCGTCACTGTGTGTGTGACCGTCACTGCGTGTGTGACCGTCACTGCGTGTGTGATCGTCACTGCGTGTGTGACCGTCACTGCGTGTGTGATCGTCACTGTGTGTGATCGTCACTGTGTGTGACCGTCACTGTGTGTGTGATCGTCACTGCGTGTGTGACCGTCACTGTGTGTGTGATCGTCACTGTGTGTGTGACCGTCACTGCGTGTGTGACCGTCACTGTGTGTGTGACCGTCACTGCGTGTGTGATCGTCACTGTGTGTGTGATCGTCACTGTGTGTGTGATCGTCACTGTGTGTGTGATCGCCACTGTGTGTGATCATCACTGTGTGTGTGATCGTCACTGTGTGTGATCGTCACTGTGTGTGTGATGGTCACTGTGTGTGATCGTCACTGTGTGTGTGATCGTCACTGTGTGTGATCGTCACTGTGTGTGTGATGGTCACTGTGTGTGTGATCGTCACTGTGTGTGATCATCACTGTGTGTGTGATCGTCACTGTGTGTGTGATCGTCACTGTGTGTGTGATCGTCACTGTGTGTGATCGTCACTGTGTGTGACCGTCACTGTGTGTGATCGTCACTGTGTGTGATCGTCACTGTGTGTGTGATCGTCACTGTGTGTGTGATCGTCACTGTGTGTGTGATCGTCACTGTGTGTGATCGTCACTGTGTGTGTGATCGTCACTGTGTGTGATCGTCACTGTGTGTGTGATCGTCACTGTGTGTGTGATCGTCACTGTGTGTGTGATCGTCACTGTGTGTGTGATCGTCACTGTGTGTGATGGTCACTGCGTGTGTGATCGTCACTGTGTGTGATCGTCACTGTGTGTGATCGTCACTGTGTGTGTCATCGTCACTGTGTGTGATGGTCACTGCGTGTGTGATCGTCACTGTGTGTGATCGTCACTGCGTGTGACCGTCACTGTGTGTGTGATCGTCACTGTGTGTGTGACCGTCACTGTGTGTGTGATCGTCACTGTGTGTGTGACCGTCACTGTGTGTGTGATCGTCACTGTGTGTGTGACCGTCACTGCGTGTGTGATCGTCACTGTGTGTGTGACCGTCACTGTGTGTGTGATCGTCACTGTGTGTGTGACCGTCACTGTGTGTGTGATCGTCACTGTGTGTGTGATCGTCACTGTGTGTGTGACCGTCACTGTGTGTGTGACCGTCACTGTGTGTGTGACCGTCACTGTGTGTGTGACCGTCACTGTGTGTGTGACCGTCACTGTGTGTGTGACCGTCACTGCGTGTGTGACCGTCACTGCGTGTGTGATCGTCACTGCGTGTGTGATCGTCACTGCGTGTGTGACCGTCACTGCGTGTGTGATCGTCACTGCGTGTGTGACCGTCACTGTGTGTGTGATCGTCACTGTGTGTGTGACCGTCACTGCGTGTGTGACCGTCACTGCGTGTGTGATCGTCACTGTGTGTGTGACCGTCACTGTGTGTGTGATCGTCACTGTGTGTGTGACCGTCACTGTGTGTGTGACCGTCACTGTGTGTGTGACCGTCACTGCGTGTGTGATCGTCACTGCGTGTGTGACCGTCACTGTGTGTGTGACCGTCACTGTGTGTGTGATCGTCACTGTGTGTGTGATGGTCACTGTGTGTGATCGTCACTGTGTGTGTGATCGTCACTGTGTGTGTGATCGCCACTGTGTGTGATCATCACTGTGTGTGTGATCGTCACTGTGTGTGATCGTCACTGTGTGTGTGATGGTCACTGTGTGTGATCGTCACTGTGTGTGTGATCGTCACTGTGTGTGATCGTCACTGTGTGTGTGATGGTCACTGTGTGTGTGATCGTCACTGTGTGTGATCATCACTGTGTGTGTGATCGTCACTGTGTGTGTGATCGTCACTGTGTGTGTGATCGTCACTGTGTGTGATCGTCACTGTGTGTGACCGTCACTGTGTGTGATCGTCACTGTGTGTGATCGTCACTGTGTGTGTGATCGTCACTGTGTGTGATCGTCACTGTGTGTGTGATCGTCACTGTGTGTGATCGTCACTGTGTGTGTGATCGTCACTGTGTGTGTGATCGTCACTGTGTGTGATCGTCACTGTGTGTGTGATCGTCACTGTGTGTGATGGTCACTGCGTGTGTGATCGTCACTGTGTGTGATCGTCACTGTGTGTGTCATCGTCACTGTGTGTGATGGTCACTGCGTGCGTGATCGTCACTGTGTGTGTGATCGTCACTGTGTGTGATCGTCACTGTGTGTGTGATCGTCACTGTGTGTGATCGTCACTGTGTGTGATCATCACTGTGTGTGATGGTCACTGCGTGCGTGATCGTCACTGTGTGTGATCATCACTGTGTGTGTGATCGTCACTGTATGTGATCATCACTGTGTGTGATCGTCACTGTGTGTGTGATCGTCACTGTGTGTGTGATCATCACTGTGTGTGATCATCACTGTGTGTGTGATCGTCACTGTGTGTGATCGTCACTGTGTGTGATCATCACTGTGTGTGTGACCGTCACTGTGTGTGTGATCGTCACTGTGTGTGTGACCGTCACTGTGTGTGTGATCGTCACTGTGTGTGATCGTCACTGTGTGTGTGATCGTCACTGTGTGTGTGATCGTCACTGTGTGTGTGATCGTCACTGTGTGTGTGATCGTCACTGTGTGTGTGACCGTCACTGTGTGTGTGACCGTCACTGTGTGTGTGATCGTCACTGTGTGTGTGACCGTCACTCTGTGTGATCGTCACTGTGTGTGATCGTCACTGCGTGTGACCGTCACTGTGTGTGTGATCGTCACTGTGTGTGTGACCGTCACTGTGTGTGTGATCGTCACTGTGTGTGTGACCGTCACTGCGTGTGTGATCGTCACTGCGTGTGTGACCGTCACTGCGTGTGTGACCGTCACTGCGTGTGTGATCGTCACTGTGTGTGTGATCGTCACTGTGTGTGTGACCGTCACTGTGTGTGTGACCGTCACTGTGTGTGTGACCGTCACTGTGTGTGTGACCGTCACTGTGTGTGTGACCGTCACTGCGTGTGTGACCGTCACTGCGTGTGTGATCGTCACTGCGTGTGTGACCGTCACTGCGTGTGTGATCGTCACTGCGTGTGTGACCGTCACTGTGTGTGTGATCGTCACTGTGTGTGTGATCGTCACTGTGTGTGTGACCGTCACTGTGTGTGTGATCGTCACTGCGTGTGTGACCGTCACTGTGTGTGTGATCGTCACTGCGTGTGTGACCGTCACTGCGTGTGTGACCGTCACTGTGTGTGTGACCGTCACTGCGTGTGTGATCGTCACTGTGTGTGTGATCGTCACTGTGTGTGTGATCGTCACTGTGTGTGTGATCGCCACTGTGTGTGATCATCACTGTGTGTGTGATCGTCACTGTGTGTGATCGTCACTGTGTGTGTGATGGTCACTGTGTGTGATCGTCACTGTGTGTGTGATCGTCACTGTGTGTGATCGTCACTGTGTGTGTGATGGTCACTGTGTGTGTGATCGTCACTGTGTGTGATCATCACTGTGTGTGTGATCGTCACTGTGTGTGTGATCGTCACTGTGTGTGTGATCGTCACTGTGTGTGATCGTCACTGTGTGTGACCGTCACTGTGTGTGATCGTCACTGTGTGTGATCGTCACTGTGTGTGTGATCGTCACTGTGTGTGTGATCGTCACTGTGTGTGTGATCGTCACTGTGTGTGATCGTCACTGTGTGTGTGATCGTCACTGTGTGTGATCGTCACTGTGTGTGTGATCGTCACTGTGTGTGTGATCGTCACTGTGTGTGTGATCGTCACTGTGTGTGATCGTCACTGTGTGTGTGATCGTCACTGTGTGTGTGATCGTCACTGTGTGTGATGGTCACTGCGTGTGTGATCGTCACTGTGTGTGATCGTCACTGTGTGTGATCGTCACTGTGTGTGTCATCGTCACTGTGTGTGATGGTCACTGCGTGTGTGATCGTCACTGTGTGTGATCGTCACTGCGTGTGACCGTCACTGTGTGTGTGATCGTCACTGTGTGTGTGACCGTCACTGTGTGTGTGATCGTCACTGTGTGTGTGACCGTCACTGTGTGTGTGATCGTCACTGTGTGTGTGACCGTCACTGCGTGTGTGATCGTCACTGTGTGTGTGACCGTCACTGTGTGTGTGATCGTCACTGTGTGTGTGACCGTCACTGTGTGTGTGATCGTCACTGTGTGTGTGATCGTCACTGTGTGTGTGACCGTCACTGTGTGTGTGACCGTCACTGTGTGTGTGACCGTCACTGTGTGTGTGACCGTCACTGTGTGTGTGACCGTCACTGTGTGTGTGACCGTCACTGCGTGTGTGACCGTCACTGCGTGTGTGATCGTCACTGCGTGTGTGATCGTCACTGCGTGTGTGACCGTCACTGCGTGTGTGATCGTCACTGCGTGTGTGACCGTCACTGTGTGTGTGATCGTCACTGTGTGTGTGACCGTCACTGCGTGTGTGACCGTCACTGTGTGTGTGACCGTCACTGCGTGTGTGATCGTCACTGTGTGTGTGATCGTCACTGTGTGTGTGATCGTCACTGTGTGTGTGATCGCCACTGTGTGTGATCATCACTGTGTGTGTGATCGTCACTGTGTGTGATCGTCACTGTGTGTGTGATGGTCACTGTGTGTGATCGTCACTGTGTGTGTGATCGTCACTGTGTGTGATCGTCACTGTGTGTGTGATGGTCACTGTGTGTGTGATCGTCACTGTGTGTGATCATCACTGTGTGTGTGATCGTCACTGTGTGTGTGATCGTCACTGTGTGTGTGATCGTCACTGTGTGTGATCGTCACTGTGTGTGACCGTCACTGTGTGTGATCGTCACTGTGTGTGATCGTCACTGTGTGTGTGATCGTCACTGTGTGTGTGATCGTCACTGTGTGTGTGATCGTCACTGTGTGTGATCGTCACTGTGTGTGTGATCGTCACTGTGTGTGATCGTCACTGTGTGTGTGATCGTCACTGTGTGTGTGATCGTCACTGTGTGTGTGATCGTCACTGTGTGTGATCGTCACTGTGTGTGTGATCGTCACTGTGTGTGTGATCGTCACTGTGTGTGATGGTCACTGCGTGTGTGATCGTCACTGTGTGTGATCGTCACTGTGTGTGATCGTCACTGTGTGTGTCATCGTCACTGTGTGTGATGGTCACTGCGTGTGTGATCGTCACTGTGTGTGATCGTCACTGCGTGTGACCGTCACTGTGTGTGTGATCGTCACTGTGTGTGTGACCGTCACTGTGTGTGTGATCGTCACTGTGTGTGTGACCGTCACTGTGTGTGTGATCGTCACTGTGTGTGTGACCGTCACTGCGTGTGTGATCGTCACTGTGTGTGTGACCGTCACTGTGTGTGTGATCGTCACTGTGTGTGTGACCGTCACTGTGTGTGTGATCGTCACTGTGTGTGTGATCGTCACTGTGTGTGTGACCGTCACTGTGTGTGTGACCGTCACTGTGTGTGTGACCGTCACTGTGTGTGTGACCGTCACTGTGTGTGTGACCGTCACTGTGTGTGTGACCGTCACTGCGTGTGTGACCGTCACTGCGTGTGTGATCGTCACTGCGTGTGTGATCGTCACTGCGTGTGTGACCGTCACTGCGTGTGTGATCGTCACTGCGTGTGTGACCGTCACTGTGTGTGTGATCGTCACTGTGTGTGTGACCGTCACTGCGTGTGTGACCGTCACTGCGTGTGTGATCGTCACTGTGTGTGTGACCGTCACTGTGTGTGTGATCGTCACTGTGTGTGTGACCGTCACTGTGTGTGTGACCGTCACTGTGTGTGTGACCGTCACTGCGTGTGTGATCGTCACTGCGTGTGTGACCGTCACTGTGTGTGTGACCGTCACTGTGTGTGTGATCGTCACTGTGTGTGTGATGGTCACTGTGTGTGATCGTCACTGTGTGTGTGATCGTCACTGTGTGTGTGATCGCCACTGTGTGTGATCATCACTGTGTGTGTGATCGTCACTGTGTGTGATCGTCACTGTGTGTGTGATGGTCACTGTGTGTGATCGTCACTGTGTGTGTGATCGTCACTGTGTGTGATCGTCACTGTGTGTGTGATGGTCACTGTGTGTGTGATCGTCACTGTGTGTGATCATCACTGTGTGTGTGATCGTCACTGTGTGTGTGATCGTCACTGTGTGTGTGATCGTCACTGTGTGTGATCGTCACTGTGTGTGACCGTCACTGTGTGTGATCGTCACTGTGTGTGATCGTCACTGTGTGTGTGATCGTCACTGTGTGTGATCGTCACTGTGTGTGTGATCGTCACTGTGTGTGATCGTCACTGTGTGTGTGATCGTCACTGTGTGTGTGATCGTCACTGTGTGTGATCGTCACTGTGTGTGTGATCGTCACTGTGTGTGATGGTCACTGCGTGTGTGATCGTCACTGTGTGTGATCGTCACTGTGTGTGTCATCGTCACTGTGTGTGATGGTCACTGCGTGCGTGATCGTCACTGTGTGTGTGATCGTCACTGTGTGTGATCGTCACTGTGTGTGTGATCGTCACTGTGTGTGATCGTCACTGTGTGTGATCATCACTGTGTGTGATGGTCACTGCGTGCGTGATCGTCACTGTGTGTGATCATCACTGTGTGTGTGATCGTCACTGTGTGTGATCGTCACTGTGTGTGATCATCACTGTGTGTGATGGTCACTGCGTGCGTGATCGTCACTGTGTGTGATCATCACTGTGTGTGTGATCGTCACTGTGTGTGATCATCACTGTGTGTGTGATCGTCACTGTGTGTGATCGTCACTGCGTGTGTGATCGTCACTGTGTGTGATGGTCACTGCGTGCGTGATCGTCACTGTGTGTGATCGTCACTGTGTGTGTGATCGTCACTGTGTGTGTGATCGTCACTGTGTGTGATCGTCACTGTGTGTGTGATCGTCACTGTGTGTGTGATCGTCACTGTGTGTGTGATCGTCACTGCGTGTGTGATCGTGACTGCGTGTGTGATCGTCACTGTGTGTGTGATCGTCACTGTGTGTGTGATGGTCACTGTGTGTGTGATCGTCACTGTGTGTGTGATCGTCACTGTGTGTGTGATCGTCACTGTGTGTGTGATCGTCACTGCGTGTGACCGTCACTGTGTGTGTGATCGTCACTGTGTGTGTGATCGTCACTGTGTGTGTGATTGTCACTGTGTGTGTGATCGTCACTGCGTGTGACCGTCACTGTGTGTGTGATCGTCACTGTGTGTGTGATTGTCACTGTGTGTGTGATCGTCACTGTGTGTGTGATCGTCACTGTGTGTGACCGTCACTGTGTGTGTGATCGTCACTGTGTGTGTGATTGTCACTGTGTGTGTGATCGTCACTGTGTGTGACCTTCACTGTGTGTGTGATCGTCACTGCGTGTGTGCGGTGCGCGTGTGAAGACGACGAGCCGACCCTGCCTCCTTCCGACACCCCGTGGAGTAAGTGCGCGCCGCTGTGCGCGCCGCTGTGCGTAGCGGCGTGTGCGCTCGTGTGCCGTGGTCTGTGGTGGCCCGCTGGCGTGCTAACTGCGTGCGCTGCTCACGTCCCCTCGCCCCCGTGGGTTTCGTGTGCCGTCGCCTCCTCCCTGGCAATGTTCCCGCACGCGCGAGGTCTCTACCCTCTCCGTCCTCCTCCTCCGCCTGCTGCCGTGCTGGGCCTCAGCACAGCGGAGGGATTTGAGGCAAGGTGGCGGCCGTCCATCTGAGCGCTCTTCTTCTCACGCACGGTGGCAAAGATGTTCACGAGCTGGACGCCAATGTGGAGGTCCTCCTGAAGAAGTGTGTTGCTGTGCGGTCCACCGTTTGGGTTTTCACGGCCACAGATCTTCTCCGGCATTTTCTCAGGAGCCCCATTTGTGCGAGGTGGCCGTTGAAAATGGCCCACGTGTACGGGCGAGCGCTTATCCAGGCTCGAAGATCCTGCCGAGCCTCTCGAGATCTCACCCGAGATCGGGGGCACCTTCACGGGCGGTTTGCCCGTAGGCTGCTCCTGCTGCTGCTTGATTCGTCGGATCATCTTCTTCTAAAGGACTCCAAAGTCGAGGAAATTAATGTGAAGGCTCTCCGTGGCCTAGCCCCGCGGTATCTGCAGGAGCTGATCCGTGTTCACTCACTAACGAGGTCCCCGCGACCTTCGCACAGCCTCCTTCAGTGGACTCCGAGGCTCTGTTCCTGGAGCGATCGCCGTGGCTTTTGCCGCCGTGCAGCTCCCAGACGATGGAATAACGCTTTTGCCTTTCCCGATTAAGGGATTCGGAGTCGGAGTGAAGTCTGCCTTGGAATCTCTCACCTCTGTAAACTGGCCCTCACCCTGCCACCGAGTTCTGGCCATCGACCCGGCAGGTCCTGTTTGTTTCCTGGCGACGGAATATCGCTTTTGCTTTTCCTGTCTAACGACAATCGGAGTCGTTCGATATCGTCAGATCTGTCTTGAAATCTCTCACCTCTGTAAACAGGCGTGACCCCCGTTGCCGAGTTCCGGCCGTTTGCCCAGCAGGATCTGTTTATTTCCCGGCTCTCCCTACGCGGCACGCATTGGCAGAAACCCACGGATGAAATGCGCCTACACGGAACGTAGATTTACGATTATTCAGGGGAAGATACGCTGCGGATCCAGCTGTGCAAATTCATCCGACGGGGGGCCTTGAATCGGCGCCTTCTCCGAGGGCAGCCCGGTGGTATTTGGTACGTGGGTGGCATGCCAGGGCCCCCGGGCGCTGGCTGGGCGCCGTGTTTGTCCCTCGTGGTAGCCTGCTAAAGGCTGTCCGACGAGTGGAAGGGGGAGGGTAAATCTTCGTGTGTACAGTTCACGTGCTAGCAAAGTGCGCGTGTGTGCATGTGTCTGGGAGGAGCCGGTGGTGCAGAGGTTAGCGCGCTGCGCTACGAACCCGGCCACCCGAGTTTGATTCCCGCTCATGGCCAACACCGGTGACGATTATCTGCACCACTCCTGAATCTTGCCTAGGTGGACTCAGCGGCAAATGAGCACCTGGTGCAGTGTGAACATCGCCACTGTGGAGATGAAGGCGGCTGGGTGTGGTGCTGGCCACCCACCCCATTGTGTGCAGTGCTGGCCTTCATGGGTGCTGCTCGCAAACAACACTTGCCCCAGCAGCCTGTTAAAGGCTATCCAGAGGATTTTTGTCATTGTGGCTGAGAGAGAGAGAGATTAGAGAGGGCCATTCCCAAGTTGACTCAGCGTGAAATGAGTACCCGGTGCGGTGTATTAACATCGCCAGTAGGAAGACAAAGGCGGCCGGACGTGGTGCTGTTCACCCACCCCCTGATGTGCCATGCCGGCCTTCATAGGTGCTCACTGACAGCGATTGCCCCAACAGTCTGTTAAGGCTACACGGGGGATCTTTGTCTTTGTCTGTGTGTGTAGTTGGTGTGTGGGGGTCGCCGAGTGGTTAGCGCGCTGCGCGACGAACCCGGCGACCCGAGTTCGATTCCCGCTCACGGCCAGAAGCAGTGACGATGATCTGAACCAGTCCGAGGCCTCCCTTTAAGTCGACTCAGCCATAAATGAGTAACACCGCTGCGGTGTGTAAAGCAGCAGCGCTCACACGAGCACCGGGAGCGGTTGCGTTAGCATCGCCACCATGCCGGCCTTCGTAGGTGCTCGCTAAAGGACTTGCCCCAATGGCCTGTTACGGCTGGGGATGTGTCTGCTTGAACAGTGCTGTATGTGTTCATGCATGCATGCGTGTGTGTGTGTGTTGATGCATGCTTGCTTGTGTTAGTAAAGCCTAATACGATCATCTGTGTGCGCATGCATGCACGTGTGTGTACCTCGGGGAGCGGTGGCGCAGTGGTTAGCGCACTGCACTGCGAAACCCGCAAACCGTGTTGGGTTCCCACTCATGGCCAACATGGGTGGCGAACATTTGAACCGGTGCCTGGGCTTCCCCTAGATCGACTCAGCCTTAAACACCGATGCAGTGTGTAAAACAGCAGCACTGGGGAGATCGAGGCTGCTGGGCATGATGCTGGCCACACCGCCCCAACATAGGCACGCCGTTCCGGCCTTCATAGGTGCTGCTCACTAACAGCACTTGCCCTAGTAGTCCGGCAAAGGCTATACGGCGAGGGTGGAAATATTTGTCTTTGTATGTACACGTATTAATAAAGTACGCGCGTGTGCCTGTGTGTACGTGCGTACGTGTGTGTGTGTGCGTACGTGTGTACACTTGTGCGCGTGTTCGTTTTGTGTGTGCATGCGTGTGCGTGCGCGTGTGTACGTGCGTGTGCGTGTGTACGTGCGTGTGCATGTGCGTGTGTACGTGCGTGTGCGTGTGTACGTGCGTGTGCATGTGCGTGTGTACGTGCGTGTGCGTGCGCGTGTGTACGTGCGTGTGCATGTGCGTGTGTACGTGCGTGTGCGTGTGCGTGTGTACGTGCGTGTGCATGTGTTGCAGCGCCCACGGAGGCCCCGCGTGCGTGTGGGCCGGAGGAGTTTGCGTGCGGCTCGGGTGAGTGCATCCCCCTGGACTACGCGTGCGACCGCCGCATGGACTGCGAGGACGACTCGGACGAGAGCAACTGTGGTGCGTAGTCACTCACTCGCCCGCCCACGTGTCTCCCTGTGTGTCTGTGTGCCCACGTGTCTCCCTGTGTGTCTGTGTGTCCACGTGTCTCCCTGTGTGTCCGTGTGCCCACGTGTCTCCCTGTGTGTCTGTGTGCCCACGTGTCCCCGTGTGTCTCCCTGTGTGTCGGTGTGCCCACGTGTCTCCCTGTGTGTCTGTGTGCCCACGTGTCCCCGTGTGTCTCCCTGTGTGTCTGTGTGCCCACGTGTCTCCCTGTGTGTCTCCGTGTGTCTCCCTGTGTGTCTCCCTGTGTGTCTGTGTGCCCACGTGTCTCCCTGTGTGTCTGTGTGCCCCTATCTGTCCCAGTGTGCCCACGTCTGTCCCTGTGTATCCCTGTGTCTGCGTGTGTGTGTCTTTGTTTTGTCTGTGTGTTGTTGTGTGGGTGTCTGTGTCTGCGTTTGTGTGTGTCTTTGTTTTGTCTATGTGTTGTTGTGTGGATGTCTGTGTCTGCGTTTGTGTGTGTCTTTGTTTTGCCTGTGTGTTGTTCTGTGTATCTCTGTGTCTGCGTGTGTCTTGGTTTTGTCTGTGTCTCTGTGCGCCCCTGTGCACGTGCCCCTGTGCACCCCTCGCTGTGGATGTACCTTGTACGTGACCCCGTGTCTAACCGAGACCACGTGTCTCGCTGTCTCTTACTCTGCCTGCCGCCATCCCGGACGCAGCGCCACGGTAAGAGTCCCGATCACCGCCACGCGGACACTGACGGCGCACCGCACGGAGCAGCACGCTTCCTGGAGTCTCCGGGAAGGAGGGGTGGGCAGGGGGGTGAATGATGGCGCCCCCCCCCCCGCCCCCCAATAATCAATATTTATTGATTGATATTTACTGGAGAAAATAAATACACTGATTGTTTGTATGAATGTCGGGCCCTGTTTGATGATAAGTTTGACATTTCAGGACAGTCACCCCCCCCCCATCGCCCCCCTTTACTCCCCCCCCCCCCCACCCCCAAAATCTCACGTCGTGATAAATATATTCCGGGCTGTGCAGAGCGGCCCAGATCGTGCCTCAGGGTGCCGTGGTGGCGAGATGTTAACTACCTCGCCTGGTATACAGGAGTAGATCCTGACCCTGGAGTTTGCACGTTCGCATGGACCTAACTCCGGGTCTACCGTTTTTTCGCTACACGTTTAGAATCATCATGAGTTTAGAATAGTTGCCTACTATAAATGTCCACATGATGATGATGAGCCACTTCGTTGAGCTACGATTTGTGGCCAGGTCGCTTCTGACAAAGAGCTGCACAGTTCAGTTGGCCCTTACCTAGTAAAGAAACGAATAGTTCCGTAGTTTTATTTACGCTCCCGCCAACCCGACGGCTCGCTCCAGATTCCCGAACCTCTCTCGGCACCCGCTCACGAGTCGATCCGACATTCTGGCGAGCCGGCTGACGGTGCGTCAAGTCCAGAGTTTTGTTTGCGAAGCACCGACGCTGCACCCGGCAGGAGGCCGTCCATCTCTATTAGTTTGACGTGGCGGAGTGGAGGGATACGCGTGTGGCAAGGAGGCGAACCGTCCGCTTCGCCAACTCATCGCGCTCCCATCGAGCCATTGCGGATTCCGCCGAGTCGTGCGGATTCCGCGCGAGCCCCTTTCCGCATCTTGCCGAGCCGTCGTCCAGACCCCCCCCCCCCCCCGCCGAGTCGTTCATGGCCGCCGTCTCTCCCCCCCCCCACCGCAGCCATCACGGCGGAGCCCACCCCACCTCCCGCCGTCGTGCTGCCCCCGGCTGTTGTACCCAGCCGTCCCGAGCGCCCTCCTAGCCGGCCCGTCGTCACGCCTCCTCCGCCTCCGCCGCCGTCGCCGCAATCATCGCCGACGCCGCCGCCGCCGCCGCCGCTGACGCCTCCGCCGCCGCGCCCCCAGGTCCCCCACACCGCAGCGCCCGTGCCGCCCCCCCCGGCCGCTCGCCCGTGCCGCGTCGAGGAGGCGGTTTGCGGCAACGGGCAGTGCGTTCCGCGGGACTACCTGTGCGACGGGGAGAAGGACTGCACCGACGGGAGCGACGAGATGGCCTGCGGTGAGGGCGACGGCCAAATGTCCCCCCCCCTCCCGTGCCCGTCGTGCGGCCTGCGCGAGGCTGTTGGGGCAAGGTTAGCGAGCGGCACCTTCGAAGGCCGGCGCGGCGCGCCAACGAGGCGGTGGTGTGGCAGGAAAAAAAACTCCGCCACGGCCGCCGCCGCCTCCCCAGTTCTGATGTTTACACAACGCCGCATGTCGGTATGCAGTTAAGGCCAAGTCGACCTAGGGGAGGCCCAGGACCGGTTCAGATGTTCGGCACCGGCGGTGGCCGTGAGCGTGATTGGAACTCGGTAGGCTGTACGCTAACAACTGCAGTTTCCACTCCCCTTAACACAAAGGTCCCCGTGTAGCCTTAACAGACTGTTGGGGGCAAGTGCTGTTAGCGAGCGCCTGTGGAGGCCGCAACGGCACACGAGGGGGTAGTGGCCAGTACCACGCCCGACTGCCTTTGTTTTCCCAGTGTCGATGTTTACTACGCACCGCACCAAGTACTCATATGAGGCTGAGTCGACCTAGGTGAGGCCCAGGACCAGTTTAGATAAACGTCACCGGTAATGGCCATGAGCGGGAATCATAGCGCAGCGTAGCGCTAACCGCTACACGAACGCTAACGCACAGACACACACACAGACACACAGACACACAAATACAGACACACACGTACAGACACGCACGTACAGACACACACATACAGACACACACATACAGACACACACATACAGACACACACACACAGACACACAGACACACAAATACAGACACACACGTACAGACACGCACGTACAGACACACACATACAGACACACACACAAACACACACATACAGACACACACACACAGACACACACACACACGTGTGCACAGACGCTCTCGCGTTGCTTACGTGCTCACAAGCCGCGTGCGTTGCCCTCAGCCACCGCCTCCCCGTGCGAACCCAACGAGTTCCGGTGCCGGAACGGACGCTGCGCGCTCAAGCTGTGGCGCTGCGACGGAGACAACGACTGTGGGGACAACTCGGACGAGGACGTCTGCCGTGAGGATCGCACGGGGACACGCCGGGGACACGCGGAGACACGCGGAGACACGCGGGGGACACGCGGGGACACGCGGGGACACACCGGGGACACGCCGGGGACACGCGGGGACACGCCGGGGACACGCGGAGACACGCGGGGACAGGAGGGGGAGACGCCAGGGACACGCCGGGGACACGTGGGGACACGCCAGGGACACGCCGGAGACGCGAGGGGGACGCGAGGGGGACACGCCGGGGACACGTGGGGGACACGCCGGGGACACGTGGGGGACACGCCGGGGACACGTGGGGGACACGCGGGGGACACGTGGGGGACACGCCGGGGACACGTGGGGGATACGCCGGGGACACGCCGGGGACGCGAGGGGGACACGCCGGGGACACGCCGGGGACGCGAGGAGGACCCGCCGGGGACACGCGGGGACACGCGGGGGACACGCGGGGACACGCTGTTACGGACACGCCGGGACTCCCTGGACGATGCGTGGGGACACGCGAGGAGGACGCACGGTCCGTTAAAGGCTACGTGGGGAACTTCTGTGCGTGTGTGTGTGCGTGTGTGTGTGCAGCGACGCGGGGCCCGTACGACCGCTGTGCCCCGGAGCAGTTCTCGTGTGCGTCGCGCGACCAGTGCATCCCGGCGAGCTACCAGTGCGACGAGGAGCGCGACTGCCGCGACGGCTCCGACGAGAACGACTGCCGTGAGTGACGATGCACACACGCGGACACGCGCACGCTTGCGCAAGTGCGCACACAAACGCGCACGTTCACTGGGACGTGACACGCAGGAGTCCACACAGACGCGCACACACACACCCACGCGCACGTTGAAACCTGCACATCGGTAAAATAGCCGCTCTGTTCCAGCGGCCGCACCAACTGCGACCTGCGCAAAGCAAGGGGGCTTTGAGACGCACCCCGTAGCGAGCGTGCGGGAAGCGGTCGCGGGGCGGTTCGCACCCCGCGCCGCGCGGCCGGGCGTGGCCGCCGCTCCCTCGCGACACTCGCCCCGACGGTCCGCCGAAGGCTACGCGGGGGATCTTTGTCTTCGCGCTCAGGTCCCCCGCAGGTGGTGATGCCGCCGGCGGACATGGTGATGGTGTCACGGGGGGACTCGGTGACGCTCACCTGCGAGGCCGTGGGGGTGCCCACGCCACTCATCACCTGGAGGCTCAACTGGGGCCACGTGCCCGCCAGCAGCCGGTACGTGGCGGGGTGCGGTACGCAACGCGGGCGGGTACGATCCGGCCTGGTACGCGTGGCCTGATAAGCGCGACCGGGTACGTGTGGACGGCTAAGTACAGTTGGGTACGAGCGACTCATCATACGGAGATGAGTTTCAAGACTCAAATTTTCGCAATAGGGACAATGTTGTTTGCAGCTAATCTCTGAGCATTGGGATGTTGTTTGGCCAATTCCAGTTAGTTATTAATTTTTAAATAGTATTTTACCAGTTGAGGCCCACTGAGTTATGTAGCGCTTTTTCAGGAGCGACCTGGCCACGAACAACAGCCCAACGAAGGCGGCCTATCGTGTGGAAATGTAGAGCAGCCAAATACTCTAAACGCGTGATGTTGATTCTAAATTATACAGCAGCAGGCGTCAGGGTCGGGATCGAACCCACGACCTCCTGTATACCAGGCGAGGTAGTTAACATCTCACAGCCACCGTGATGATGATGAGAGAGAGAGACACGCAAACTCCAAATATACAGCAGCAGGCGTCAGGGTCGGGATCGAACCCACGACTTCCTGTATACCAGACGAGGTAGTTAACATCTCCTAGCCACCGTGATGACGATGAGAGAGAGAGACACGCAAACTCCAAATATACAGCAGCAGGCGTCAGGGTCGGGATCGAACCCACGACTTCCTGTATACCAGACGAGGTAGTTAACATCTCCTAGCCACCGTGATGATGATGAGAGAGAGAGACGCAAACTCCAAATATACAGCAGCAGGCGTCAGGGTCGGGATCGAACCCACAACCTCCTGTATACCAGGCGAGGTAGTTAACATCTCACCACCGCGGCGCCCCCCACACAGTCAGCCACACTTGATCGCACACAACAACGACCGCCGTTCGCCACTAGGAGGTGACGTCACCACGGTGATTGTACCAGGCCAGGTGCAACTTAAGGCCACGTGAAGTGTCAAAGGCTCACTGCCGGCAGGAGGTTTTGCACGCTCGCACTCCGCAGCAGAACAGCGGGAGAACAACCACACCACACAGGAAGGCGCCCGGGTCGGGATTAAAATCACGACTCCTCGCCGTGACGCACGGAGTATCGCCACCGTGCCACCGTCACCCTGCCGCCCGTGTGAACATGCGCGTGCGTTGCGTGCATGTGCGCGTGCGCGCTTGTGAACGTGCGTGCGTGTGCATGCGTGGCGGGTTTAACGGAACATTCATATTCACGCGATCTAACCCAAAACCACCTCTACTGTGTGGATGCGTGTGTTGCGTACGTGTTCGTGTGTGTGCACGTGTCTACGTGTATGCGTGCGTGGGTGCGCGTGCGCGTCTGTACGTGTGTGGACGCGTGTGCGTGTGTACGCGCGTGTGCACGTGTACGTGTGTTTGTGCGCGTGTGTGCGCGTACCCGTGTGCGTGCACGTGTGGGCATGCGTGCGTACGTGCGCGTGCTTGAATGCGTGCGTGTAGGGTGTCGATGAGCTCGGAGAACGGGCAGGGCGTGCTGGTGCTGCGTGACGTCAAGGACACGGACCAGGGCGCCTACACGTGCGAGGCCATCAACGCCAAGGGCATGATCTTCGGCATCCCCGACGCCGTGCTCGTCATCAAGGGCGACACCGGTGCCTCCTCCTCGCTCCTCACACAACTCCTCCCTCCTCCTCCTCACACCTCCTCCTCCTCATGCCTTCTTGCTCCTCCTCCTCCTTGTGTCGAGATGTGGGAGCCGTGTCTGTGTGTCGAGGTGTGGGAGCCGTGTGTGTGTGTGTCGAGGTGTGGGAGCTGTGTGTGTGTGTCGAGGTGTGGGAGCTGTGTGTGTGTGTGTGTCGAGGTGTGGGAGCCGTGTGTGTGTGTCGAGGTGTGGGAGCTGTGTGTGTGTCGAGGTGTGGGAGCCGTGTGTGTGTGTCGAGGTGTGGGAGCCGTGTGTGTATGTCGAGGTGTGGGAGCTGTGTGTGTGTCGAGGTGTGGGAGCTGTGTGTGTGTGTGTGTCGAGGTGTGGGAGCCGTGTGTGTGTGTCGAGGTGTGGGAGCTGTGTGTGTGTCGAGGTGTGGGAGCCGTGTGTGTGTGTCGAGGTGTGGGAGCCGTGTGTGTGTGTCGAGGTGTGGGAGCTGTGTGTGTGTCGAGGTGTGGGAGCTGTGTATGTGTCGAGGTGTGGGAGCCGTGTGTGTGTGTCGAGGTGTGGGAGCCGTGTATGTGTGTCGAGGTGTGGGAGCCGTGTGTGTGTGTCGAGGTGTGGGAGCTGTGTGTGTGTGTCAAGGTGTGTGTGTCGAGGTGTGGGAGCCGTGTGTGTGTGTCGAGGTGTGGGAGCCGTGTGTGTGTGTCGAGGTGTGGGAGCTGTGTATGTGTCGAGGTGTGGGAGCCGTGTGTGTGTGTCGATGTGTGGGAGCCGTGTGTGTGTTTCAAGGTGTGGGAGCTGTGTGTGTGTCGAGGTGTGGGAGCCGTGTGTGTGTGTCAAGGTGTGGGAGCCGTGTGTGTGTGTCGAGGTGTGGGAGCCGTGTGTGTGTGTCAAGGTGTGGGAGCCGTGTGTGTGTGTCGAGGTGTGGGAGCCGTGTGTGTGTGTCAAGGTGTGGGAGCTGTGTGTGTGTGTCGAGGTGTGGGAGCCGTGTGTGTGTGTCAAGGTGTGGGAGCCGTGTGTGTGTGTAGAGGTGTGGGAGCCATGTGTGTGTGTCAAGGTGTGGGAGCCGTGTGTGTGTGTAGAGGTGTGGGAGCCATGTGTGTGTGTCAAGGTGTGGGAGCCGTGTGTGTGTCGAGGTGTGGGAGCCGTGTGTGTGTGTGTGTGTCCGCGCGCCCCAGGCCCGTGCGGCGAGGGCCAGTACAACTCGGTGGCGAGGGAGCGCGCCGAGTGCCTCCGCTGCTTCTGCTTCGGCGTCACCAACGCCTGCGAGAGCACGCGGCGCCACCGCTCGCAGATCACGCTGCGCTTCACCGAGCCCGACGACCAGAAGGGTGAGAGCGCCGCGTGCGTGCGCGCCGTGCCACCGCCGCGGGCACATACTGCCCACGAAGCTTGGCGGTGTTTGTCTTTGTTTTCGGTGAGTGAGTGGGTGAGTGGGTGAGTGAGTAGGTGAGTGAGTGGGTGAAGTGGGTGGGTGAGTGAGTGAGTGAGTGGGTGAGTGGGTGAGTGAGTAGGTGAGTGAGTGAGTGGGTGAAGTGGGTGGGTGAGTGAGTGAGTGGAGTGAGTGAGTGGGTGAGTGAGTGAGTGGGTGAGTGAGTGGGTGAGTGAGTAGGTGAGTGAGTGAGTGAGTGGGTGAAGTGGGTGGGTGAGTGAGTGAGTGAGTGAGTGGGTGAGTGGGTGAGTGAGTGGGTGAGTGAGTGGGTGAAGTGGGTGGGTGAGTGAGTGGGTGAGTGGGTGAGTGAGTAGGTGAGTGAGTGGGTGAGTGAGTGAGTGGGTGAAGTGGGTGGGTGAGTGAGTGAGTGGGTGAGTGAGTGGGTGAGTGAGTGAGTGGGTGAGTGAGTGGGTGAGTGAGTAGGTGAGTGAGTGGGTGAAGTGGGTGGGTGAGTGAGTGAGTGGAGTGAGTGAGTGGGTGAGTGAGTGAGTGGGTGAGTGAGTGGGTGAGTGAGTAGGTGAGTGAGTGAGTGGGTGAAGTGGGTGGGTGAGTGAGTGAGTGAGTGGGTGAGTGGGTGAGTGAGTGGGTGAGTGAGTGAGTGAGTGAAGTGGGTGGGTGAGTGAGTGGGTGAGTGGGTGAGTGAGTAGGTGAGTGAGTGGGTGAGTGAGTGAGTGAGTGGGTGAAGTGGGTGGGTGAGTGAGTGAGTGGGTGAGTGAGTGGGTGAGTGAGTGAGTGGGTGAGTGAGTGGGTGACTGAGTAGGTGAGTGAGTGGGTGAAGTGGGTGGGTGAGTGAGTGAGTGGGTGAGTGAGTGGGTGAGTGAGTGAGTGGGTGAAGTGGGTGGGTGAGTGAGTTGGTGAGTGAGTGGGTGAAGTTGGTGGGTGAGGGGAGTGAGTGCGTAAGTGAGTGAGTGAGTTGGTGAGTGAGTGGGTGAAGTTGGTGGGTGAGGGGAGTGAGTGGGTGAGTGAGTAGGTGAGTGAGTGAGTGGGTGAAGTGGGTGGGTGAGTGAGTGAGTTGGTGAGTGGGTGAGTGAGTGAGTTGGTGAGTGGGTGAGGGGAGTGAGTGGGTGAGTGGGTGAGGGGAGTGAGTGGGTGAGTGAGTGTGTCATTGGGTTATGGGGAGCGGTGGTGTAGTGGTTATTACGCCGCGCTACGAATCCGGCGACCTAAGTTTGATTCCCACTCACTGCCACCACCAGTAGCGAATATCAGAACCGGTCTTGGGCCTCCCCTAGATCGACTCAGCCTCAAATGAGCACCTGGTGCGGTGTGTAAACATCACCACTAGGGAGACAAAGGCGGTCGGGCGTGGTTTTGGCCACCCACCCCTCCGTGTGCCATGCCAGCCTTCATAGGTGCTCGCTAATAGCACTTGCCCCAACAGTCTGTTCAGGCTATAGGGGGGATCTTTGTCTTTTTGACTGGGTGAGTGAGTAGGTGAGTCAGTAAGTGGGCGAGTGAGAGGGTGATTGAGCGAGCGAGCGAGTGGGTTCACTACTTGCCGACGAGCGCTGCATCCGCCGACCATCTCGGTCAGTCGACCCATAATGCCTGGGGTTTGTCGTAAAGTGCACCTAGCCTGGCACAAGCTAACGCGGGGGCATCCGTTGTTGTTGTCGTCATGCGCCGACGCAGGGGTGAACGTGACGATGCGGAGCTCCATGTCCCAGCCGCTGCTCGCCGCCACGCAGATCATGGTGGACGGAGAGAGCGGCTACTTCCAGCTCGTCGACCTCTCTCGCCACTTCCGCACCGTCGAGTCCTTCTGGGAGCTGCCCGGCCAGTTCCTGGGCAACAAGGTGACCGTCGGAGGGCGACCCACAAGGCCACTCTCCCCCCCCGCCCTCGCCCCGCCCCTCCGCCCTCGCCCCGCCCCCACCCTCGCCCCGCCCCCGCCAATGCCCCGCCCACGCGCGTGGGTATGTGTGTGGACTGGGCGTGGTGCTGGCCACCCACTACATCGTGTGCCGTGCCGGCCTTTATAGGTGCTGCCCGCAAACAGCACTTGCCCCAACAGTCTGTTACAGGCTATACGGGGATTTTTGTTTGTTTGTTTGTTCGGTGGGGAGCGGTATTGTAGTGGTTAGCGCTACGCTGCTCTAAGAACCCAGCGACGTGAGTTCGATTCCTGCTCATGGCCACCAACACCAGTGACTATTATCCGAACCGTTCCTGGGCCTCGCCTGGGTCGACTTGGCCGCAAATGAGTACCTGATGCGGTGTGTAAACATCGCCGCCGGAGAGACAAAGGCGGCCCGGAGTGGTGCTGGCCGCCCACCCCCTCGTGTGCCGCGCCGGCCTTCATAGGCTGCTCGCAGTCTGTTGAAGTCTATACGGTGGATTTTTGTCTTTCGTGCGCATGCAGATTGGCTCGTACGGCGGCTCCCTGCGCTTCAAGATCCGCTACAGCGTGGGGCGCGTGAACCAGCTGAGCGTGCCATCGCGGCCCGACGTGCTTCTCAAGGGGGGCGGCCGCACGCTCGCGTACCGCCCCCGCAGCGCCACACAGACCGGGGCCCACAACGACCTCTCCATCCTCTTCATCGAGGTGCCCCTCGGCCCCCGCGCGATTACGGCAATGATGACGACGTGGGGGGGGCGGGTGGCGGTGGTTTCAGCTGATTGTAAATCCCGATTGAGTTGTGGTTTGTGGTAAATTTTCGAATTTGGACCCTGACGCCGGGGGGCAACTCTTGCGAATGGCGAAGCAGGCGGCGCTTCGTCGTCGTCGTTTTCATAGCAGTAGTAGTAGTTAGCATTGCGCACAGTACATGACCGCAGCATTAACCGGGGCGGCCGCCGCTGGATTCGAACCGTGAACCTCGGCAGCAGGGAGGCGCGGTGGTCACGCTCGCGCCTCGCAGCTAGGAGGGCCTGGGTTCCATTCCCGACTCGGGCGCCTTCCCGTGCGGGATTTGTCTGCGTTAACGGTTGTCGGTGTCGATGTTTGTCGACGTGCTGCTGGTGTGTGTTGACGCGTGTTGATGTCTGCTCATGTTTGTCTACGTGCTGCTCATTTCTCTTGACGCGTGATGATGTCTGCTCATGTTTGTCGACGTGCTGCTGATGTGTGTCTGCCTCTCGATGTCTCTCGATGTTTGTCAGTGTCTCATGTGTGTCGACGCGCGTCTCGATGTCGACGCGTGTCTCGGTGTCTCGTTTCGTGTCTGCGTGTCGCGGTGTCTGGGTGTCTTGGTGTCTGGGTGTCTCGGTGCGTGTATCAGTGTCTCTGTGTCTCGATGAGTGTCATGGTGTCTGCGTGTCGCGGTGTCTGGGTGTCTGCGTGTCGATGCGTCTGGGTATCTGCATGTCACGGTGTCTGCGTGTCGCGGTGTCTGGGTGTCTGCGTGTCGATGCGTCTGGGTGTCTGCGTGTCACGGTGTCTGGGTGTCTGCTCTGCGAGTCGACGTCTCTGGGTGGCATGCGCTGGTGCAGGAGAACTGGCAGCACGAGAGTAGCGGTCGCGCCGTCACGCGGGAGGAGCTGCTCATGACGCTCGTGAACCTGGAGGGGATCCTCATCAAGACCGTGTACGACGACAAGATGGTGAGCGTGGGCCTGGCCGACATCGCCATGGACACGGCCATCACCACCACCACGAGCCTGGGCCCCGCATACGCCGTCGAGGAGTGCAGGTGGAGCATGCCAGACACAGCACGGACACCGCACGGACACCGCACGGATACAGTACGGACACAGCACGGACACAGCACGGACACCGCACGGACACCGCACGGATACAGCACGGATACAGCACGGACACAGCACGGATACAGCACAGATACAGCACGGATACAGCACGGATACAGCACGGATACAGCACAGATACAGCACGGATACAGCACGGACACAGCACGGACACAGCACGGACACCGCACGGATACAGCACGGATACAGCACGGACACAGCACGGATACAGCACGGACACAGCACGGACACCGCACGGACACAGCACGGATACAGCACAGATACAGCACGGACACCGCACGGACACCGCACGGATACAGTACGGACACAGCACGGACACAGCACGGACACCGCACGGACACAGCACGGACACAGCACGGATACAGCACGGACACAGCACGGATACAGCACGGACACAGCACGGACACAGCACGGACACAGCACGGACACAGCACGGACACCGCACGGACACAGCACGGACACCGCACGGACACAGCACGGACACCGCATGGACACCGCACGGACACAGCACGGATACAGCACGGACACCGCACGGACACCGCATGGACACAGCACGGACACCGCACGGACACAGCACGGACACCGCATGGACACAGCATGGACACAGCACGGACACAGCACGGACACAGCACGGACACCGCATGGACACAGCACGGACACAGCACGGACACCGCATGGACACAGCACGGACACAGCACGGACACAGCATGGATACCGCACGGATACAGCACGGACACAGCACGGACACAGCACGGACACAGCATGGATACCGCACGGATACATCACGGATACAGCACGGACACCGCACGGACACAGCATGGATACCGCACGGATACAGCACGGACACAGCACGGACACAGCACGGACACAGCACGGACACCGCACGGACACAGCACGAGACACCGCACGGACACAGCACGGACACAGCACGGACACCGCACGGACACAGCACGGACACATCACGGATACAGCACGGATACAGCACGGACACCGCACGGACACAGCATGGATACCGCACGGATACAGCACGGACACCGCACGGACACAGCACGGACACCGCACGGACACAGCACGGACACAGCACGGACACAGCACGGACACATCACGGATACAGCACGGATACAGCACGGACACAGCATGGATACCGCACGGATACAGCACGGACACAGCACGGACACAGCACGGACACAGCACGGACACCGCACGGACACAGCACGAGACACAGCACGGACACAGCACGAGACACAGCACGGACACAGCACGGATACAGCACGAACACCGCATGGACACAGCACGAACACCGCACGGACACAGCACGAGACACAGCACGGACACAGCACGGATACAGCACGAACACCGCACGGACACAGCACGGACACCGCACGGACACCGCACGGACACAGCACAGACACAGCACGGACACAGCACGGACACAGCACGGACACAGCTGACACCATGGAAACCACAACTCGGCATTAAACGAGTACCTGGTGCTGTGCGTAAAGATCAGCAACTGGGGAGACAAAGGTGGCCGGGTGTCGTGCTGGCCACACCACCTCTCTGGCATAGTGCTCACTCGCAGCACGTGACTTGCTGATTCATGTTACCCAGGAAAGAGAGAGGACGGACTGCACACAGGGAGGCGAACACAGTCGGGGCGAGCGAACCCAGACGCGTTTGTTTGTTCACCCGGGAAAGCCTCGCCGAGTCTCAAGGCTCGCTCTCAGGAGGGTCCTGCCAGCTTTCCAGCCAGTAGTAGGCGGGGTGGGGGGGGGGGGGGCGCGTTGTTGCCCTCGTGTGACCCCGTACAGCCTTTACAGCCTGTTCAGGCTATACGGGAGATCATTGTCTTTGTGCATGTGTGTAAACGCGTGTATGTGTGTGTGTGTACGTGTGTGTGTACGTGTACGTGTGTGTGTACGTGTGTGTGTACGTGTGTGTGTACGTGTACGTGTGTGTGTACGTGGTGTGTGTGTACGTAATGTGTGTGTGTGTACGTGTACGTGTGTGTGTACGTGTACGTGTGTGTGTACGTGTACGTGTATGTGTGTGTGTACGTGTGTGTGTACGTGTGTGTGTGTACGTGTGTGTGTACGTGTGTGTGTACGTGTACGTGTGTGTGTACGTGTGTGTGTGTACGTGTGTGTGTGTACGTGTGTGTGTACGTGTGTATGCAGGTGCCCCCCGGGTTACACGGGCCTATCGTGCGAGCAGTGCGCTCCGGGATTTTCGCGGGTCCACTCTGGCCTTTACCTGGGAACCTGCGCCGGCTGCAGCTGCCACGGCCACGGGACCGCGTGTGACGAGCACACGGGCGAGTGTCTGGTGAGCGGCACCCGGCGACACGCTCACTCGCTCGCACACACACACACACGCTCGTACACACACACACACGCTCGCTCGTACACACACACACGCCCGCTCGTACACACACACACATGCTCACTCGTACACACACACGCTCGCTCGTACACACACACGCGCTTGTTCGTACCCATACAGGCAGGTTCAGTAGACTCCTGCGCAGACACAAGGTCGCTTATGCACCCGCTGACACGCATACACACAAACTATACGCTCCCCCGTAGAGCCCTTAACAGACTATTGGAGCAAGTGTTGGCGAGCACCTGTGAAGGCCCACGAAGGGGCCGTGAGGCCACAAGGTCACTCGCACACTCACGCGCCTCCCACGTGTCTCCCCCCCCCCGTGCCCCCCCCCCCGTGCCCCCCCCCCGTGCCCCCCCCTTCCGTGCCCCCCGGTAGAGCTGCCAGCACAACACGGAGGGGGCGCGCTGCGAGCGGTGCCGTGCGGGCTTCGTGGGGGACGCCACGCGCGGGACCCCCGCCGACTGCCAGCCGTGCCCCTGCCCCTTCACGGGGCCCCCCAACCAGTGCGCGCATACACGCACACGAATGCACACACACGCATACACGCACGCACGTGTGCGCACACAAGCGTATAAACAATGACTAGACACACACGCACTCAAATCTCACACGCACACTCGCACACTCACGTGACAAAGATCCGCCGTGTGAAAGTATATATGTTGAACTTCGTGGTGGAGCGTGGTGGAGCACGGTGGAGCGTGGATCGCCGTTGATGGTGGTGGGTCGTGTGGCCCCGTGCAGGTTCTCCCAGACGTGCTTCCTGGACAGCGACGGGCGCCCGACGTGCGACGCCTGCGCCCAGGGATACGTGGGGAGGCGTTGCGACCGGTGCGTGTCGCTCGCTCACCCACACACAGATAAAGATCCCCCGTGTAGCCTCAAGCAGACTGTCAGGGCAAGGGCCGTTAGCGGGCACCTACGAAGGCCGCCACGGCAGGGGGCGGTGTGGCCTGGCGCTGCGCCCGACCACCTTTGTCTTCCCAGTGCTGACGTTTACACGCCACACCGAGTGCTCATTGAATGCATTTTCGTTATAGGGGAGGCCCAGGACGGGTTTGTGATGATTGCCGCTGATGTCAGCCGATGCGGGAATCGAACAGAGATGGCCGGGTTATTGTAGGGGCAGTGCGCTAACCATTGCGCCACCCCTCCATGCACGCACGGACGGAGATGTCTGGGGCGCTGTATGGGGCGATGACCCCAACGTGATCCCCCCTCCCCTCTTCCCTCCCCCTCTCCTCTAGCTGCGCGCCCGGCTACGAGGGAAACCCGACGTCGCACGGCGGGACCTGCCAGAGTGAGTGACAGCACTCGAGACACGGGGGGCGGGGGTGTATGGGGGGCCTGGGATATATGGGAATGCTGAGACGTGGGGATATGGGGACACGGGGGTGTATGGGGGACCTGGGATATATGGGAATGCTGGGACGTGGGGATACACATCTTATTTTCTTTGGAACTGCTTTTTGTGTTTAGCTTGTTGTCCTTACCCCCGCACCTCCGATTAGCACGGTTGGCTATGTACAGTGCAAAAGAAGTTCAATCGACATATGAAGACACGGGGACATGGAGACGTGGGGACGTGGGGACGTGGTCACGTGGGGACGTGGTGACGTGGGGTCACGATGACGCTGACACAGGGTGCGGACGCCAGCCCTCTGACCTCCGTTATCCCCAACGGCTGACGTCAGCCTTCCCGCCGACCCCTGAGATCTCTCCAACCTCTTACCTCTGCGTTGCCCCTGCCCCCTCACCCCTGCCCTGACCTCTGACCCCTGCTATGTGCCTCCTAGGGGAGGAGGGTCATTGTGACCGCCGGGGCAGCCTCTCTCTGCAGCCCATCGGAGGGCAGTGTCTTTGCAAGGTGAGTCGGTGATGTCGTCCCTCGGTTCCGTCTCCGCATGGGCGGTGCCTTGATGATGACGACGACGATGATTCCAATGATGACGATGACGAAGATGATGACAACGATGGCGCAACCGCAGCTCCGCGCGTCAGACAATCCGGGGGCTGAGCCTCGCTGGGCACTCAGCGAGCCTCTCTGCTTGGGACCTCTGAAGAGTTTCGCGGGCATCGCCAGAAGCGGTGGCGATCACACCCAGTGGATTTCTCTTCAGCATCTGTAGGAGTAACTCAGTGCCTTGCTAGAACTTGTAGGTAATCGCTCGGTCAGTGCGGCACGGGCTGACGATCACTCGGTGGGGTTTCTCTTCAGGAGCTAGAGGAGTGACTCAGCGCCATGCTAGAACTTGTGCATTTCTGCTTATCTCCTCCAATGCAGATTTGGCTGATGACGCATCCACAGGCCTAAAGCGGTGCCGACGGTGATGGAAATAAAACGAAATAATTGTTTTTATTTACCAGCTACAGCCCACTGAGCTATGTAGCTCTTTTCCATAAGCGTCCTGGCCACAAATGATAGCTCAACGAAGTGGCCTATCATCATCATCACGTGGAATTGTATAGCAGCCAAAATCCTATAAACGTGTGATGTTGATTCTAAATGTGGAGGGAAAAACTGGAGGACCCAGAGAACAATCCACACAGCCACAGGGAGAGAGACACTAGAAACTCCAAATATACAGGTGTTAGGGTCGGGGTCGAACCCACGTCATCCCGCATACCAGGCAAGGTAATTAACATCTCCTTGCCCCCGAGGGTGCGGACCGCAGGGGAGGGGGCGGCGCCGGACGGAACGTCTTCAGGAGCCCGCCCTGAGCGCGCACGTTCAGGATCTGCTTGGCGGTGTCGGGTGGCGGAGGGTCTCGGCGACACAAATTTTGTGTTTATTGCAGCACCGTCCTCTTTCTACCGCCCCCTGCCTCCCTCCCTCCCTCCCCCATCCCCCATACCGCCCCCCGCCCCCCCACTGTCCCCCCATCCTCCCGCCCCTGCCTCTCTCCCCCGTCCCCCAGCCGCACGTGGTAGGGTCCCGCTGTGACGAGTGTGAGGCCGGAGCGTTCCATCTGAGCGACACGGGGCCCAACGGCTGCCTCAGCTGCTTCTGCATGGGCCTCACGCGGCAATGCACCAGCTCCACCTGGAGCCGCGACGTGGTGAGGGCGGGGGGGGGGGGGCACCTTGTTGAGGTCGTGGTGGGGGTGGGGGGGTGCTGCGCTGGGGGGGGGGGGCGAGTTGCGAGGTGAGCGTGGGGGGGGCGGTCAGCACGCCGCGCTACGAACCCAGCGACCGGAGTTCGCTTCCCGCTCACAGCCACCGACACCGGTGGTGGTTGTCTGAACCGGTCCTAGGCTTCCCCTAGGTCGACTCAGCCTTAAATGAGTACCTGTGTGTGTGTTGAATTTCTTTCGCACCGTGCTAATCGGAGGTGCGGGAGTCGGACAACAAACTAAACACAAAAAGCAGTACCTGGTGCGGTGTCTACAAAGGCGGCCGGGCGTGGTGGTGGCCACCCACCCCCTCATGTGCCATGCTGGCCTTCATAGGTGCTTGCCAGCAGCATTTGCCCAAGCGGTTTCTTAACGCCATATGGGGGACCTATGTCTTTGTTGTCCATGTGTGCCCAGGTTTGCCCAGCGCCACACGTGTTTAGACACCCTCAGATATGCCCAGGTGTGCCCAGGTGTGGTTAGACATCCACAGGTGTGCTCAGGTGTGGTTAGACACCCTCAGGCGTGCCACTAACTTCCTCTGCCCGCTCCCCCTCCCCCCTGGCTGGCAGGTGCGAGCGGACTTCTCGGCGAGGGAGCAGCCGCTGTACCAGCTGACGGAGCTGGCCAGCGGGCGCACCTTCCGCGACGAGCTGGTGTTCCGCGGCGACGCCATCTTTGTCTACAGCTTCAACACGCTGCCTGCGACGCCGCTCTACTGGGCGCTGCCCGACCGCTTCCGCGGGGACAAGGTGGGCGAGGGCAGGGCGAGGGCAGAGTGAGGGCAGCAGCTGGCACGTGGCCGCTCTCACCACCCCCACCCCCTCTACGTGGGCAATGGGAGGCCGGAGGGCGGGGGGGGGGTGGCCGCGTGGCCAATGTGTGTGTGTGCCCACGTGTGTGTGTGTGTGTGCCCACGTGTGTGTGTGTGCGTGCCCGCGTGGGGAGCGGTGGTACAGCGGTTAGCGCAACGCGCTACGAACCCGGTGGCCCAGTTTCGATTCCCGCTCATGGCCAACGCCGGTGATGATTATCTGAACCGGTCCTGGGCCTCCCCGAGATCGGCCCAGTACCCAGCGTGGTGCGTGAACATTAGCAATGGGGAGACAAAATGCGGCCGCGCGTGGTGCTGGCCCCACCACCACCACCACCACCTCGTCGGTGCTCCGTGGCGGCCTTCACACTCGTCACTCTAGCGGCACCTGGCCCAGTACGGGGGAGGTGGGGGGCGGCATCTTTGCTTTCGGTGTCACCGAGCGCGTCCGTGTGCGTGCGTCTCCCCGCGCCCGCAGGTGACGGCATACGGAGGGGAGCTGCGCGTCACCGTGCGCTACGAGGCATCCCCCGGAGCGACGCCACACGCCACGCCGTCGCTGGCGGACGTGCTGCTGCAGGGCAACGACATCTCGCTGGAGCACCGCCTCAACGCACCGCCACAGCCTGGGGCCTCCACGCCGCTGCGCATCCCCATGCGGGAGGTAAGGGGGAGCTGTCATACCGACCCCCACCACCAACACCCCCCACGCCCACCACCACCCCCCCACCACCACCACCACTCCCGTGGGTTTTCTCCGTCGTGCTTCGGCTTCCTCCTGCCTCTCTGGACACTTACTGATTGGACGGCAGCACCGCATACGTAGAGGACGGCAGAGCTTGGGGGTGGGGTAATTGATAGTGACGCTGGATCCTCACTGTCCCGTGGCGCCTCCGAGTCATCCTTTCTGTCTCTCTGCGAGAGCGAGCAGCGAGCATCACGCAGATGCGGCACAGCATTACAAACCGACACTATATATCGTTATCATCATTATTGTTGTTGTTGTAACGCTACCTTGTGCCGTGTGCCCGTTCCCCAGACATCATGGCGACGGGCGGACGGGCAGCCCTGCTCGCGCGAGCACCTGCTCATGGCGCTCGCAGACGTCGCCGTCCTGCTCGTCCGGGCCACCTACACCGACAACACGCGCCAGGCTAGGTCCACGCCGCACCTCCTCACAACACACCCACTTCTACTACTCACAGCCCCTGGCTATGCAAATCTAGGGTCTCTATGCAAGTATATGGGTCTCTATGTGAGTCTATGGATCTCTTTGTGAGTCTGTGGGCCTCTGTGTGAGTCTGTGGATCTCTTGTGCGAGTCTATGGGTCTCTATGTGAGTCTGTGGGTCTCTATGTAAGTCTTTGGGTCTCTGCGTTAGTCTATAGATGTTCACCAGGCTACTCCTGAAGCCATCCACTGGCTCAGCCACCAATCTCTACCTGACAACAGAAACACTGCCGATGAACTCACTGTGATCCTCTGACCCCATGACCCCATGACCTTTGCTCCCCATACCGCCCTCCCCCACCCTCCCATGTGACCGCAGCATCAAGGACATGACCATGGACGTTGCCGTTCCCATGGAGACGGGGCTGGGCCGTGCCTACGAGGTGGAGGAGTGCATCTGCCCCACCGGCTACCGCGGAACTTCCTGTCAGGTGACTTCCCCTCTGTCTCCATCACGTGATGGTGGCTATAGTGGGCGGGGTGGGATGCAGGGGGGGCGTTGGAGGGTGGGGTGGGGGGGTTGAGAACATCATTCCGGTACATCTTTTTCCACTCCCACAACTGAACAGAGCCAGCACGTGGCCCCCATGGCACGGGTTGTTTTCCACTGGCAAGCCATGCCAGGAACAAATCGCGCTCCACCAGCCTCACGAGAAGACATCTCAATCTGGCTCGGGGGCCAAGCAGGGCCAGGGGCGGTGCTAATGACGTGTTTAATGCAACTGGCACGAGTCGTTAACTCTCGCGCGATGTCACCGCTTCACCCAAGCTCGTCTGCGCTCGTTCACCACGCGCGTGACGTCAGCGGTGCGGCTCGGGACTGTGCTGTGGAAAAACAGCAGCCTTCCGAGCCGCACCTGCGGCCGGTTTCGGCATGGCTCAGGCACGGTTCTGGTTGCGCGGTGGAAAACTTCCGTGGGTGGCCTCGTGGGAGAGCAACGGGAAGATTCTCAGAGCTGCCCGTCCAGGTGCTGTCGCTGGAGAATGGCCGCTGACTGGGCCTGCCCTGCCGCTCCCTCTTGACGCTAATTAACCCGTGAACTGTGAGCCGCATGTCACCATGCCGACCGGCGCTGGCCTCCCTAACAGATGCGACGACGTCGCCGTAGCGCCGAGCGCGGTAACAGCGTCTGGCCTGCCGCTCGCGCGTTAACATGTCGGTGTGAGAGTGATGTTCGCATGTCTTAACCTGTGACCCCTAACCTGTGACCCCTCCCCCTCAGTTGACCTGTGACCCCCCCTCTCCTGACTCCACCAGTTTGCTGCCCATAACCCCCCCGCCCACCCCACCCTCCCCCTCCCTCCTCCCACGCACGGTGCTCTGCGAGTCCGGGTCACGACCCCCAGCATAGTTCACTCCACGTTTTTTTACCCGAACTCCCGGACACCACAGTCCGTGAGCCCATGGCAGACGTCCAATTTCAGCAGCAGCTCCTGAGCCAACAAAACTCCCGTAAAGTCGGCACACATTTCTAATCAGTCGGCCGTCACGTAGCTGACTCTTAACTGGCCGTATAATTTCCGTCGTCGAGAGAGGGGACGACTCGGAGGGGACAACGAGGAGGAACCACGGACGAGCGGGGAGGCAGCGGCAGCAGCCACGCTGCGAGCCGGCACTAACAAATGGCCAAGCTCTGCGGTCCTCTGTATATGTCAAGGTGTTGTCGGCAAATTAAAGAGCATTTGCATGTGCAGGCGGGGGTAGCGTAGCGGAAAAAGAAAACGTGGAGCGGAGCGCGCGTGGGGGTTTCCGGACCGGGGGCCTCGTGGCGCGACCCCTAACAGAGCCTCGCCCCTCCTCACTGCCCACCCCTCCCCCCCTAACCCCCGCTTGCCTCCCTCGCTGCGTGCCGTGGCGCCCGCGGCGCGGGACAGGACTGCGCTTTTGGCTTTACGCGCTCCGAGGTCGGCCTGTACCTGGGCATGTGCGTGCGCTGCGACTGCCAGGGCCACTCCAACGACTGTGACACGCAGTCTGGCCTCTGCCTGGTACGTATGGGGCCGGGTGGGGCCCACGCGGGGGCGGAAATGGGGGGCGGCCTGGCGGGTTCGCGATCGTTGTCGGGGTCAGCGTCGGGACAAAGCTCACTCTGTCTGTTGTTGTTGTATCCTCAAATCTTGTAACTCAATTTGTACCCACTTCCCAATGTGGTATCGACTGAAAACTTGGTATACTTATGTGATACTGATGACAATACTATATTATATCATAAAAAAATTAAGAATATATATTTTTAAACATTATTTTCTATATATTGTTTCGACTTCGGTCTAATTGTCCACGCTCATCTGACGTTGGCTGTAAATCACCACGGTGTCCTACGTTATGGCAAGCTTCGTGGCCACTTCCTGGAGTCGTGGAGTTCTTCCATTACTCGTACGGTACATGTCATTAAAGTGTGTTTTTAAAAAAGTTTTTTTAAATATGACTTATTACTTGTGTGTTATCGATGTCGAACTCGGGCTGAAGATGTCGATGCACCAGCGCTGTCCGTCCATCAGTCTGTCCTGTATGTGACGTGGGGGGGGGGGGGTCACGGTGACTCTCGTAACGACGGACCAATTGGCACGAGGCTCCAGCGCGAGGTTGTGTCGTTCGTGGGGAACTCGGCCAGGGGAATCCAGACCGCGTCGACCGCAGCTCTGCCCAAAACACCCAGGGCCAAACGCCACCTTGGCCAGACAGCTGCCACGTGTCGCCGGCTGCCGCGCTGCTAAATTCAATTCTGTCGAAGCCCAAAGATGCGCCTCAGTCACCCGCTGCAGAATCCGCGCATGAACGTGGTTGTTCCCGACCGGTTTATTTGCCGATGGGTGAATCGCCCTTTTATCTGTTCATGTCTCCTGGCATGGGCAAGCGTACAGAGAGCCATACCAAGAGGCAGGCAGGCATACGGACAGACAGAGGCAGAGAGAGGCGGACAAAGATATACGCGGACAGACAAATAGACGGGGCCACAGAGAGAGACACGGATAGCGAGAACGACAAAGGCGGAGGGAGGGAGATCGAGAAAGATGCGCAGACAGACGGAGCCAGGGGCAGAAACACTTATAGCGAGACAGACAGACAGACAGATTCACAGAGACAGCGCTTCCAGCATGAGGCCACCTTGCTGGATGGTAATAATATACAATAATTATAATAATAGCAGTCATGGTAGTGATGGTAACCATGGTAATCATGGTAATTATGGTAACGATCGTGGTGATGGTGGTGGCAGTGAAAGTGATGGTGGTGACGATAGTAATGATGGAATGGTGACGGTGATGGTAGTGATGATCGCGATGGTGATGGTAATGATGATGGTGATGGTAGTGGGTATCGTAATAATGGTAACGATGATGGTAATGGTAGCGATGGTAGTGACTATGATGGTAGCAATGGTAGTGACGATGATGGTGATCCTATGTGTGTTTCACATGTCCCCGTGTAACCCGTATTTGCCCGTGGCCCCTTGTGTCCCCCCCACGTGTCCCTACGTGTCCCCGTGTGTACCCCCCCCACCCCCGCGTGTCCCCCCACGTGTCCCTCCACGTGTCCCCCGTATCTCCCCCCGCGTCTCCCCGCGTCTCCCCGCGCGTGTCCCCGCGTGTCCCTTCCATGTCCCCCCGCATGTCTCCCCCCCCCCCCTGCCCCGGCACGTCTCCACACCCAGAGCTGCCAGCACAACACTGACGGGCCGCGGTGCGACCGCTGCAAGCCGGGCTTCTACGGAGACCCGTCCACGGGGGGCCCCGACGCCTGCAGACCCTGCCCCTGCCCCCCCATCGGACAGTACGCCCCCCCCCCCCCACAGCACCTCCCCGCACCCCTCCCCACCCCCCCAGCGATCCCCCCCTGCTCCCTCCCGGCATCGCTCACAACACCCGCGTAGCTCGCGTGGGCGGAGGGTAAAATGCGGAACTCCCCTGTGGCCCCCGCGTGCGCGCAGGAGCCCGGGGTCATGCTACCGAGACTCGGACGGGCAGGCAACCTGCACCACTTGCCCACCAGGACACACCGGCCGCTTCTGTGACAGGTACGGCATTTGCCGGCGTATCTAATGCAGGCACCCACACACCCACACACCCACACACCCACACACCCACACACCCACACACCCACACACCCACACACCCACACCCCCACACACCCACACACCCACACCCCCACACACCCACACACCAGCTCTATCTCATACAGAGACCCACGTACCCCCCACGTCTGTGCCCCCACTGCCTTCACCAACCTGGCAGTGATCACCACGCAGGCGTAGGGTCAAACATTCTCAGACCACCATTGTTCAGAACGCAATGACCAGCGTGAAGTACGGTCAAAGAAACCCCCACGACCCACGCGCTGCGGGGAGGACCTCATTCAGCAGTGGATTGACTAAAGGGGGTGGGGGGCTGTGCCACCCACCTCCTCGTGTGCCATGCCGACCTTCATAGGTGCCACTTGCTAACAGCACTTGCCCCACCAGTCTGTAAAAGGCTACACGGGGGATCTTTGTCTTTGGTGTCTTATCCACCACCCGGGGAAGAGTCGCCGATTTCCGATCCTCCCTTTGTCCGGAAGGGTCCCCGCGGTGGGACGTTTGGGCAGCGGTGCTCGTGGGTAATTTCTGTTGCATTGTGGGAGGAAACTGGAGGAACGCGCGCTGGCTCTAACTGCTGCTTGAAGCTTCGTGCCTGGTCCACGCGTAGCGAGTGTTACAGGGCGACACTGGGGAGGGGGGAGGGGGTGATGCTTATTGGGGGGGGGGCGACTTTCGCTCCCAAGCGTCGCCCGTTTAAACCGCCGATTTCACTCCGACCATCGCCGAAGCATCCGGAGAAGTCTGCGGAAAACTTTTCCGCGACAGACGGAGCAACGCGTGACGTCGCCTTCGTTGACGTGAGCCGCAATCGACGGGCGCGGAGCTATCGAGCGTGCAGGTGGTGCAAATGCAATGGGACGAAGATGGGGGGGTGGGATGCTGGTGGGCGGAAATTTGGCAGGGGCAGCCCCAACCTCTCATTCCTTGCGCCATGGACGGCGCGCCAATGGGCCAGGTACAATGTCGCGAGGTTTGGCCCGTTGTTCGAGGGCATGCTGAGCCATGGCCTCCGTGCTCTCCTGGTGCCACCGTCAGCAGATTCCTAGTGCGCGGCAGCTTGCCTACCGATGGGCCCCGGCGAGCGACGGCGATTGGGGGCGAGCCGCTCTGTAAATGTCGCGTCGCGTGGACCGGGCCTAACACTCGGGGGGGGTCGCGCTGCTCAGCCGTGACTGCCGGCATCCTGGGTGGCGAGACGGGTTCGGGGGGGGCAGGCGACAGGATCTGTGCCCCTGAGGTGGCGGCGGCCTGAGAGTGGTGCACAGCCCCATCCACATTGAGGGCTCGCGGTCGGCACGCATCGGTGCCGCCGCCACGGGAAGTCTCCGCATCGGGCCGCGATGGCGGCCTACGCGGTCATTGACCGTGCGCTTGGCGTGGTCCGAGCATTGGGATTTGGAGTTGGAGAATGTCGTCGTCGTCAGCCATGGTCAATCAACTGCTGGATGAAGGCCTCCCCGCCGAGCCACCGCCATCCTCTCACAATCCCACGATGTCATAATAATCCGTCCTGCGCATGTGCACGGAGCCAAATTCCATCGCTCCATCACCTCGGAGGACATCCACTCCATCGCCCACATGTTGGAGATTAGCGACAACTGGCACGGTGACCCAACGACCGGCCACTCCGACGAGCCTCTCGGTGGAGCGGCTGCGGTCCCGAAGTCTCACGAATCACCTGGGTTCGGTAGGGCATCCCTGACGTTCACCTGGGGGAGGCCACGCCGAGGAGGTTTCTAAGAAAGGCCCCTGGGATGCCCAGGCCCCCGGACACTAACCCTGCCTCTGCCGATTAATGGCGCTGCCGATTAACCGCGCCGCGGGTCCCAGCGCCCGCCGACCCGGCGGCCGTAGCCGCGGCGCCGTTTGCCTTTCCTGCCTCTCGGCTTCCGCTTCCCGGCGCCGGCTGCGATGGCGGTGTCGTTGATGGCTGACTGTCGTCTCTGCTGGTGAAGAGCGGTGGTGTACGCAGATGACCCGGCGAGCGCGGGCATCCCGGGCCCCCCCGGCGACTCCGTCGCGAGCCGGTGCCCCGGCAAGCGCCTCCCCTTCCTGCGCTCAGAGCAGCTCATCCCCGTGGGGTGCTCGCCGTGGGTGGGCGGCCCCGCCGTGCCCGTCCTGCACAGCCTGCTTGACTTCCGCGGCGGAGAACCGGCATTCCCTGGCACCGTGCCGGTGGCGGCCGCCGTGTCCCGGGGCGCCCGGCGCTGGAAGCACGAGGCCGAAGGCGAGGCCGCGGCGAGCGGCTCCGAGCGGCCCGAAGTGGGGAGCGGTGCCGGAGACGACGCGGAGGAGGCAGAGGCGGCGGCCGCGGTGGCGGCGACGCGGCCGCCCCCGTCGGCTCGGCGGGGGGGGCGGCGGCGGCCACCCCTCAACCTTGTCCTGCCGAGTCCACGGTCGGGGACACCGCGGGGCGCGCCGGATAGCGCCGTCCCTGCTCCCGAAACCTCCGCCCAAAGGGAACTCGGCGACGCGGAGACGCCGGACGCATCCGTGCGGGACACGGCCGCCCCCGCCGCGCCCGCCCCCCTCTTGCCGTGGGGCCGCCGGGTGGCGACGCCGGAGGGGCTGCTGGGGAGGACGGCACGTGCCGTGAGCTTGCTGCGGCGTCGGCAACGGCAGCTGTCGCGGGCGCTGGGAGCCGTGCGGCGCTCACTGTCCGGGCTGCGCCATCAGGTCGCCGCTGCGCTTGGCCGCGTCGCGGCCTCCGAGCTGCGCGCGGACGGCGCGGAGGCGGAGGCGAGGGCCGCGTGGGGCCGGCTGGAGCACGCCGAGCTGCTCGTCGCGGGCCACGCCGCGCAGATCTCCGAGCTCCGGCGGAGGCTGGGGGATGGCGCGGGCGGCGAGGCCGCCGTGGGACGTGGGGCCACGGTGGGCAACACGCGGACTTGGGAGGACCAGCAACAGCCGCAACAGCAGCAGCAGCAGCAGCCCGGGGAACGCGAGTCAGCGGGGAGCAGAACGGGTGGGACCCTGAGCAAAGCTCCAGGTGGACATTCTGGTGGATACTCGGGTGGACCCCTACGCGTCCGCGGCAATCGGAGAAACGCCTCCGCGTCAACGCAACCCAGGCTCCCTGGCGACGAAGGGGGCCGACCCGCGCCACGCCGGCGCCCCTCCGCCATGCCCGCCCGGCGGCACGACGGCCCCGCCCCGGGCGGCTCGGCGGAGGACGATGCGACATCCGGCGACGGCTCGGCCGCGGTAAAACCACGACCGCCGACAGCCTGGTCGGCTGCCGGCAGCGCGGGCTTCACCGCCACCACCGCCACCGCCGCCACCGCCGCCACCGCCGCCACCGCCGCCGTCGTCACTGCGCCGTCTCCCACGCGGCGCTGCGATGGCGACGAGCCAGAGGTGGAGGCGGAGGTGGTGCCGGAGGTCTCCACCGCCCGCACGACGGCCAGGCCCGTGGGGGGGCGGGGCGGCGGTGGCGGCGGCGTCGGGGCCTCCGCGTTGCGTCTGCAGGAAGTGCTCGAGTTTGTGCGCGGGCAGACCGTGGTGGGCGTGGGCAGCGGAGGGCAGCCGGCCTCGGGTGGCACCGGGCGCGGTGCCGAGGGGCGCCGTGGCCGTGGGCACGGGGGGCTGTACCTGGCGCTGGGCCGCCTCGCCGTCCCGCTGCACGTCATCCCGGACTGACGGGCCCGCGTATTGCCGCACGCACGCACGCACAAAGACAAAGGTTCTCCCGTATATAGCCTGAGCAGACTGTTATGGAAAGTGCACTCACACATATACACAAACACGCGCGTGCGATACGCGCTTGGACCGTGCGTTTGAGTGAACCGTTACTTAGAGGTTGTGCAGATTAAGTGCAAAGTAAGAGGGTTCGTGGGCACATGTCCTTGGTAATCTCACACATACAGCCCCGACACCCTCACACACACACGCGGCTCTAACAATCACACACACACACACATCCCTGACACCCACCCACACACACATCCCTGACAAACACCCACACACACGCCCCTGACACACACCCACACACACGCCCCTGACACACACCCACACACACATCCCTGACACACACACGCCCCTGACACACACCCACACACACGCCCCTGACACACACACACACATCCCTGACACACACACGACCCTGACACACACCCACACACACGCCCTTGACACACACCCACACACACGCCCCTGACACACACACACACACATCCCTGACACACACACGCCCCTGACACACACCCACACACATATCCCTGACACACACACGCCCCTGACACACACACACACACACGCCCCTGACACACACACACATACACATCCCTGACACACACACGCCCCTGACACACACCCACACACACATCCCTGACACACACACGCCCCTGACACACACCCACACACACGCCCCTGACACACACACACATACACATCCCTGACACACACCCACACACACGCCCCTGACACACACCCACACACACGCCCCTGACACACACACACATACACATCCCTGACACACACACGCCCCTGACACACACCCACACTCCGCCTGTTGGCTGCCCGTGCTGGTGTGTGTCTAAGCCGTCTGTGCTGCTGCTGGCTGAGTTAATAAAAACGCAACGTAGAGGAAAGGACATTGTTGGCATCGGTGCAGAAACAAGCCTTGGAGCTCCGCGTCATCATCATCATCACCATCGTCGTCACCGTCGTCATCGTCGTCATCATCGTCACCATCGTCATCACCACCATCATCATCATCACCATCATCATCGTCACCATCGTCACCGTCGTCACCATCGTCATCATCGTCACCATCGTCATCACCACCATCATCATCACCATCGTCACCATCGTCGTTGTCATCACCATCATCGTTATCGTCACCACCATCATCGTTGTCAACACCATCATAATCATCATCACCGCCATCATCATCGTCACTACCATCATCGTTGTCGTCACCACCATCATCATCGTCGTCACCACCATTCATCGGGATCACCATCATCATCATCACCACCATCATCATCACCACCACCACCATCATTATCGTCATCACCATCATCGTCAGCATCTTAAAATTCTTAGAATTACTTCTCCCTCCTTCTTCGTCTTGCCTGTGGCACCGTGGGGCTCGACGCCAACGTCGAGGTCTGCCAGCCACGAGAGGGCTTCAGGAGAGAGTTGGTGCAGATCCTTCGTTGAACGAGCCCAGGCCACAGTGGGTTCACTGTGTGCTCCGCAGTTTGGGTTCCATGGCCACAGTCGCGCCGCCACAGTGGCTGCGTCTTACATTTTTCTCCACTCATGGAGGAGGTGCGGTGCATCGGCCTGCTGATCTTCTGATGCGGTCGATGGTCACACCGCCGGCACCTTCGAGGAGGGTTGTCGAAGGAAGGAGGAGGTGCGATGATGATATTTGGGTCCCGAATGGGGTCTTCTCCCCCGTTCCGAGACGTCTGCAAGTTGCAGGGTGTGGGTGGTGTCCCCGTTCACCGACGAATCTCGGAACACGCGATCGGCTCAGCGTTAATTTTATTTTGAGAGGCGTAGCAGCGCCGCTGTTTTTAGAGACATTGTTAATCACCGCAGAGAACCGTAGCAACACGACCGCCCGCAACTCTACGATAGCTGGCGCCAAACTGTGCCACACACAGCCCTCCCGCATGGCCTTCTGGGAGCCTCGGTACCGATAAAGTTATTTTAGTTTTTCTTCTGATTCCGTTCCGACGACGCTCCGGTTCCATCTCCGTCGAACGTGGCGTCGCCGTTGCCATCGCGGCCGCTGTCCAGTTGCGTCGAGCAGGGCCCCCGCCGCTCGGCGTCGTGCCCCGTGGCCCGGCTGCCATGCGCCAACAGGGACGAGAGGGCGACCGCACCGGTTTGGGGCGACGGTGCAACATGCCCGCGGGGGGGGGGGGGTGGGGGCCCAAGGAGCTTGCCCCTTGAGCGCTCGTGTCCGTGGGGAAGCCGGTAGTGCAGCGGTTAGCGCCGTGCTGCGCTCGGACCTGGCAGAGACCCGAGTTCGATCCCCACACACGGCCACCAACATCGGTGATAGATCATCTGAATCGATCCCTGGGCCCTCCTCTAGGTCGACTCAACCTCAAATGAGTACCCGGTGCGGTAAGAAAACATCGCCAACTGGGGAGACGAAGGCAGCCGGGCGTGGTGCTGGCCACCCATCTCCTATTGTGTCTGTTAAGGCTACGCGGGGGAAGGGCTTTGTCTCCGTGTGGGGCATAGTGGCAGACAGCTCGTATCCCTCTCACACTTCACCAAGCCGCACCAGGGCCGTGACGACCTTTCAAGCGGCGCCGGGGCCATTTTTCCACCGCACAACCCGAGCCCTGCCGCTGTCATCACGCGCAGAAAACGAGTCGAGAAGCACGTGGGTGACGCCGCGTCCTCACCGCGTACCGACTGATGTCATCAGCCCCTCCCCACTCTGCCTGGCCCTGCTTGGAACCCCCGAGCCAGATTCAAATGTCTTCTTCTTGTGAGGCCAGCAGCGTAGCACGGTTTGGTTCCTGTGGAATCGGCAAACAGCCAGTGGGAAAACCACCTCGTAGTACGAGAGGGCCCTGTGCTGGCTCGGCTTGCATATACAAATGGAAAAAAGTGGTTATCACAGAGTCCCACTAAGAAACATACAGAGGCAGGCTGGGTAGAGGGTGAATGGAAACTGGGTGAGGCCCCAGGTGAGACCGGGTGAATGGAGACTGGGTGAGGCCCTGGGTAAGGCTGAACAGGTGGCCTTGCCCCTATGCTTGAACCTTCTCATGCAGGTGAGTAACCTCCCCCCCCCCCACCCCCAATGCCTTCATCCTCCCCTCCTTCCACTTCCCCTCAAAGCTGACCCAGTACAGCAGAGGTTCACAATCACAACCGCCATTCGCTGTGCGTGTGTGTTCGTGCTCGTGTGCGTGCAGGCGTGCTGCACTAGTGACCTAATTGCCATCTTTTGTTCACATGACAAACCTTGCTAATTGGCTGTGTCGGGTGGTGGCGGATTTAACGACACATTTATATTGACGCAATCTAACCCAAAAAAACCTCTTCATGATAATATTGGTCGCGAAAGCCGTACTACGTGTTAAAATGCAGACCATGCTCGCCTGCATAGGTGCTACTACTCGCTTAACAGCACACGGGGGGGATCTTGGTGTGTGTGCGTGCAGGTGTGCGGAGGGATATTCTGGAAATCCCCAAGCTGGCCAGCCCTGCACAGGTAAGATATGCATAGGTACACAGGTGGGGGTCACCAGTGATGTGCACAGGTACACAGGTGGGGGTCGCCCAGGCTAGCGAGTGACGCGCGGGTGAGTGACGTGTGGGGGTGCGTGTGTGTGTGCCACAGAGGGATGCCGCTGCGACCCCCGTGGCAGCGCCGGGGATCAGTGTGACAGCCACAGGGGCTGCCAGTGCAAGGTGAGGCGCGCGCCATGGCACCGCGCATGGCACGGCGTGGTGTGTGGTGTGGTATGGCACGGCGTGCCTGTGTGGTCCAGCGTGCCTGTGTGTAACGTGGTGTGGTGGTATTGTGTGCCGTGGTACGGCGTGTCTGTGTGTAACGTGGTGTGGTGGTATTGTGTGCCGTGGTACGGCGTGTCTGTGTGTAACGTGGTGTGGTGGTATTGTGTGCCGTGGTACGGCGTGTCTGTGTGTAACGTGGTGTGGTGGTATTGTGTGCCGTGGTACGGCGTGTCTGTGTGTAACGTGGTGTGGTGGTATTGTGGTATTGTGTGCCGTGGTACGGCGTGTCTGTGTGTAACGTGGTGTGGTGGTATTGTGTGCCGTGGTACGGCGTGTCTGTGTGTAACGTGGTGTGGTGGTATTGTGTGCCGTGGTACGGCGTATCTGTGTGTAACGTGGTGTTGTGGTATTGTGGTATTGTGTGCCGTGGTACGGCGTGTCTGTGTGTAACGTGGTGTGGTGGTATTGTGGTATTGTGTGCCGTGGTACGGCGTGTCTGTGTGTAACGTGGTGTGGTGGTATTGTGGTATTGTGTGCCGTGGTACGGCGTGTCTGTGTGTAACGTGGTGTGGTGGTATTGTGGTATTGTGTGCCGTGGTATGGCGTGTCTGTGTGTAACGTGGTGTGGTGGTATTGTGGTATTGTGTGCCGTGGTACGGCGTGTCTGTGTGTAACGTGGTGTGGTGGTATTGTGGTATTGTGTGCCGTGGTACGGCGTGTCTGTGTGTAACATGGTGTGGTGGTGTGCCACGGTGTGCCGCGCCAGGTGAACGTGGAGGGCCGCACGTGCGACACGTGCCGCCCTGGCACGTTCCACCTCCACGCCGACAACCCCGACGGCTGCCTCGCCTGCTTCTGCATGGGCGTCACTGGGCAGTGCACCAGCTCAGGCTACTACCGCCACACGGTGGGCACACACACACACACACACGTGGGCACACACACACGTGGGCACACACACACACGTGGGCACACACACACACGTGGGCACACACACACACGTGGGCACACACACACACGTGGGCACACACACACACGTGGTCACACACACACGTGGGCACACACACACGTGGGCACACAGACACACGGTGGGCACACACACACACGGTGGGCACACACACACGTGAGCAAACACACACACGTCGACACACACACGTGGACACACACACACGTGGGCAAACACACACACGTGAACACACACACACGTGGGCACACACACACACACACACACGTGGGCACACACACATACACACGGTGGGCACACACACACACGTGGGCACACACACACACACGGTGGGCACACACACACACGTGGGCACACACACGTGGGCACACACACACACACGTGGGCACATGGTGCACACACACGTGGGCACACACACACACACGTGGGCACATGGTGCACACACATTATGGGCAGGCACATGGCTGCACGTGGGCACATGGTGGGCAAATGTGATGATGCTAATGATGCTTCTGATAATGATGCTGCTGCTGTTGATGATGCTGCTGGTGATGACGATGCTGCTGCTGCTGCTGATGATGCTGCCGCTGCGCCCGCGTGCAGATCACGATGGGGCTGCAGCCCGGGGGCGAGCACGGCTTTGCGCTGGTGAACCGCGCCCGCACCACCGTCGTCACCGACGGGCTTCTGCTGGAGCGCGTGGCCCCAGGGCGCGTCACCGCTCCCGCCTTCGGCCAGCTGGCGCCGCACACGCACTACTGGCAGCTGCCGCCCGTCTTCACGTCCGACAAGGTGACAGCGCTCGGGCGCTCGCTCGGACGCTCGCTCGTATAGCCTTGACAGACTGTTGGGGCAAGTGCTGTCAACAGGCACCCGTGAAGGCCGCAGTTTGCCTCGACACTGGCGATGTGTACACACCGCGCCAGGCACTCGTTGCACACACGCAGGCGCGCACACAAGTACGCACGCACACAAGTACGCACACAAGCACGCACGGCCTGCTCGCCACACCCGTTTTCACTTCCTGTCTCCTCATTCGCTCTTCCTCCGTTCTTCCTCCGTGTGTTGTGCGCCGTCTGCCTCTGTCTCCCCATGCCCTCCGTGTCTCTCCCGTCTCTCTCCCCGTGTCTCCCCCGTGCCTCGCAACGACGTCGGTAACGTTATCGCTGTCGTCTCCGCTGGCGACCGCGTTACCCCCGTGACCCCGGCAGAGAGAGAGAGAGTTTGCCCGCATTCGCCGAGCTCACAAGGTACGCAGCAGGAGCAGCAACGACGACAACAACAACAACTCAATAACAACAACAGCAGCAACTGTGTGCGGACGATTGCTGTGACTGAATGCGGTGCCATTGCCCTGCACGTGTCAAATGGCAGAGAACGGGAAACGTGGCTCAGCCATCCTGCAATAACTGAATAACAACAACAGCAACAACCCAAAAATAACAGCAGCATCACAACTGTGTGTGGACATTCGCTGTAACTAACACCTAAAGTTTACAAATGTCTGGGAGGCTCCACCGGGACACATGGTGATGTGGCAGCCCCTCCCACCCTCCATCCCCGCCTTCTTTTGCATAGCCACGCCCACTCAACCACTTGCATCACCCGCAGAGTTGAGCGACCTCCCCTGGCGGGTGTCCTGACGTTGGTCCCACCCACTGCTCAGCTAGCCCCGCCCACTGCTAATGTAGACCCGCCCACTGCTCAGGTAGCTCCGCCCACTGCTAATGTAGCCCCGCCCACTGATAAGGTACCCCGCCCACTGCTCAGGTAGACCCGCCCACTGCTAATGTAGACCCACCTACTGCTTCGGTTTCTCCACCCATTGCTCAGGTAGCCCCGCCCTTTGCCCCGATCACGAGGCGATGACGCCTGCTCGCCCACTCGCTCCTCCCTGACATTGCCTCGCCCTCACAAGCGGCCGTGCATGGTGTGGTCACCCTCCTGCCCCTTCCACCTGCATGCTGGCATGCCGCCCTGACCCCGTGACCCCGTGACTCGGTGACCCCGCGCCCTCGTCCCTGCGTTCCCGCGAGCGCAGAAGGAGATGGCGACGATGACCGAAGACGAGCTGCGCCGCGACGCCTCCGCGTGGCAGCACCTGACCTCCTTCGAGGCACCTTCCAGGGCCAAAAGGTCGCAGGTAGCGAGCGCACGCCCTCTGTCTCTCTCCCGCCATCTCGCCCGTCGCCACCGCGACAGCTCCACTGCGCTCCTCTCGTTTCACTTCCGCTGTCGTTTCACTTCCGCCTTCCTTCTCCACTCCCGCGGCGAGGCTGCAACTGCGAGCGCTGTCCCCCTGCTCCTCCCTGCTCCTCCTGCTCCTCCCTCGCTCCCCCTGTCCTCCTCTCTCCGGCCTTCCTCCCACGACCTCAGGGCTCCGACATGACCGACGAGCAGCTTCGGATCGACTCCGACGTGTGGAGCCTCTTCCCGTCATTCTTCCGGCCGCGCCGTCCCGCGGCCGAGCGCCCCTTCCCTGGGCCTCCCGGCCTCGCCAACGCCCTTCCCGAGGGCCTCCCCGACGATGCCAACCCCAACGCGATCCCCAACGAGCCACCCGGCGCTCCCCCGCACCGGCACGCCCAGGGGGGCGGCCGTCGCGGCGGGAACGACGGTGGCGACGGCGACGGCGCCGCATTCGGGGATAATAATTTCCTCGATCTTTTCCCGGTTTTCTCGGACGCCGGCTCCGGTTGGCCGGAGGATTTCCCGGCTCGGCGTGGGCGGGAGTCGGGGGGCCGGGCGCCCCCCCCTCCCCCACGCAGGATCCCCCTCATTCTGCCGCCCCCCCTCCCGACGCCGCCGCCTTCGTGGCGCTCGTCGTGGTCGTCGTCGCGCACGTCCGGTTCCCCCGTGTCAACCAGCAGTCGTCGCACACAGCTGCAGAGCAAGACGCACGTGGGGCAGGTGAGCGCCCGTGGGAGATCGGGGCAGGTGATCACCCACGTGGGCTGGGGGCAGGTGATCACCCACGTGGGCTGGGGGCAGGTGATCACCCAGGTGGGCTAGGGGCAGGTGATCACCCACGTGGGAGAGGGGCACGTGATCACCCACGTGGGAGAGGGGCACGTGATCACCCACGTGGGCTAGGGGCAGGTGATCACCCACGTGGGCTAGGGGCAGGTGATTACCCACGTGGGCTGGGGGCAGGTGATCACCCACGTGGGCTGGGGGCAGGTGATCACCCACGTGGGCTAGGGGCAGGTGATCACCCACGTGGGAGAGGGGCACGTGATCACCCACGTGGGATAGGGGCAGGTGATCACCCACGTGGGAGAGGGGCACGTGATCACCCACGTGGGATAGGGGCAGGTGATCACCCACGTGGGATAGGGGCAGGTGATCACCCACGTGGGATAGGGGCACGTGAACGCCCACGTGGGCTGGGGGCAGGTGATCACTCACGTAGGATAGGGGCACGTGATCACCCACGTGGGCTAGGGGCAGGTGATCACTCACGTAGGATAGGGGCAGGTGATCACCCACGTGGGCTGGGGGCAGGTGATCACCCACGTGGGCTAGGGGCAGGTGATCGCCCACGTGGGATAGGGGCAGGTGATCACCCACGTGGGATAGGGGCAGGTGATCACCCACGTGGGATAGGGGCACGTGATCACCCACGTGGGATAGGGGCACGTGATCACCCACGTGGGCTAGGGGCAGGTGATCACCCACGTGGGATAGGGGCACGTGATCACCCACGTGGGCTCGGGGCACAGCACAGCCATCGCGGAGCTGCGAGCTCCCAACCGCTAACGGAGGCATCTGCACCCCACCGCCTTCCCCCCAGTTTCCCTCCCTCCTGGAGGCGGCCCCCCACTTCGACCCCCTGACCTCTCGGGGCAACAAGTCGTCCAATGAGATCGCGAGGGTCCACGAGCCCTTGACTCCACGGGGGGCTCGGCCGCACGAGGTGGCAAAGGTAGAGGTGGTGTGGAAGACAAAGGTGGCCGGGCGTGGTGCTGGGATTCGGGGGGGCGAGCGGGTGGCGTACGTGCGTGGGCATCTGGTGTGTTTGTGTGCTGTGGTGCGTGTGTGTGTGTGTGCGTGTGTGTGTGTGGTGCGTGTGTGTGGTGCGTGTGTGTGTGTGGTGCGTGTGTGTGTGTGGTGCGTGCGTGCTTGTGCATCTGGTGTGTTTGTGTGCTGTGGTGCGTGTGTGTGTGTGTGGTGCGTGTGTGTGTGTGTGGTGCATGTGTGTGTGTGGTGCGTGTGTGTGTGTGGTGCGTGTGTGTGTGTGTGGTGCGTGTGTGTGTGTGTGGTGCGTGTGTGTGTGTGGTGCGTGTGTGCGTGTGGTGCATGTGTGTGTGGTGCGTGTGTGTGTGTTGCATGTGTGTGTGTGGTGCGTGTTTGTGTGTGGTGCGTGTGTGTGTGTGTGGTGCGTGTGTGTGTGTGTGTGGTGCGTGTGTGTGTGTGGTGCGTGTGTGTGTGTGGTGCGTGTGTGCGTCTGTGGTGAGTGGTCGTGGTATAGCGGTTAGCGCGCCGCGCTCCAAACCCGACGATCAGAGTTCAATTGCCGCTCACGGCCAACACCGGTAACGATTATCTGAACCGGTCCTGGGCCTCCCCTAGGTCGACTCGGCCTCAAATGAGTACGTAGTGCGGCCGGGCGTGGTGCTGGCCAACCACCCCCTCGTGCGCCGTGTAGGCCTTCATAGATGCTCACTAACAGCATTTTCCCAAACGCTCTGTTAAGGCTACGGGGGATCTTTTTATTGTGGGGTGTGTGTCGCGTGTAAGCAATTGCGGTGTGTGTGCGCGCTTGTGTATGGTGTGCATGAGTTGTGTGATGGCATGTGCATGGTGTGTGTCACGCGTGTGGTGTAGTGCGTGTGACAGCATGCGCTTGTGGTGCGTGCACGCGTATGTGGTTGTGGTGCACGTCACCACACACACACACGCACACGTACGTGCACCCGTGGGTCTGCATGAACGCCAACGTCTCATTGCTCATTTGAGCGGAGTACGCAATTTACGGCTGTTCAAGTAAGTATCATTAGTTTTGTTTTTCCCCCACCGTTTTTACTCTTTCTCTAGGGGGCTCAGCCCCCCCGGCCCCCTAATGAGTGGCTGCATGCCTGACCCTGGTCTGACCTCGGCCTACCGAGACTTTGGCGCGTGCGCGCAAACGCCTCTGCAGTTTCCAGTTTTTCTCACTTCATCTTTTCCCCGTTTCCTCTTTGTCTTGCGTGGCTCCGGACGTTTCCCACACGACGACCCGGCCACACCGACACTGTCGTTCACCCAACGTCCATTCATGCCAACCACTCCACCGCCGAAACTCCTTTGGATGAATCCTCGTACCGACAACAACAACAACTCCTCCACCGTGTCACCATCGACGCAACAACGCGCCATTACACCACCACCGCATCACGTGCGATACAACGCCGTCGCACCGCACACCGGAACGCCGCGCCGCACACCACCACCACCACCACCACCCCCACCGCCACCGCCACATCACATTGCCTCTCCACACGGTGGGGCCCGCACGCACACAGTATGAGTTGGTCTACAGGGACTGGTCGCTGCTGCCTCGAGATGAAGTCTTCTACTGGCGCCTGCCCGACTATATCTGCTCCCAGCAGGTGCGGGGGGGGGGGGGATATTCGCTGGCACCCTCTTCTCCATGCGATGGGCAGGGTGCGCAGGGTTTGTGGCTAATGGGGGGGGGGGTGCGGGGGGTAATGGGGTAATTGGGAGGTCGGGTCGAGACATCCGGGAGATGATGGTGATCCTGGGAGGTGCCGGGGGGATGTGGTGAGATAATTAACGATGTGTCTGCGTGCGCGCGTGTGTGTGTTATGCGTGTGTCTATCTGTACGTGTGTGTCTGTCCTTGCGTGCGTGTGTGCACGTGCATCCGTGCGCGTACGTGTCCGCATGTCTGTGCATGCATTTGTCTGTTTGTGTCTGTGCGTGTGCGTGTGTGCACCCGTCTGTGTGTGCGTGTGTCTACGCGCGTACGTGTCTGTGCGTTTGTGCGTGCGTGTGTGTCTGTGTGCGCGTACGTATGTGCGCGCGTGTGCGTAGGTGACGGCGTACGGAGGAAAGCTCCGTTACACACTCTCCTACTCTGCCGGACCCCAGGGCTCCCCCATCCCTGATGCTGACCTCCACATCATCGTAAGCCTATTGCATCACCATCGTCATTATCAGCCTCATCATCCTAAGCCCATCTCATCATCAATATAATCTATCACATCATCATCGTCGTCATCATTAATTTTCACGTCTTTACGACCAATAGTAGCGGCCGACGGGCGCTCTGTGGTTGACGCGGTTGCGCTGTGTTTCGCGGTGCCGCGTGTCTCGGTCCCGCTGCTGTGCGCCGTACGAGCCGAGGGCGTTGCCGCGGCTAACAGTGGTGCGGTGTGCCCGCGCGGCGTTACGGCGCAGGGCAACGACATCACCCTGTCGGCGTACCACCGGGAGCAGCTGCAGCCCGGGGAGACGCGCACCTTCGAGATCCCCCTGCGCGAGGTGAGCCGCCCTCGAACGCAGCAAACAAAGACAAAGCTACCCAACCCCCCATTGTAGCCTACGCAGGCTGTCGGGGCAAGTGCTGTTAATGAGCGCTTATAAAGGCCGACACGGCGCACGAGGGAGTGGGTGGCCAGCACCACGCCCGGCCGCTTTGTCTCCCCAGGGGCGATGTTTAAACACCGTACCAGGTACTCATTTGAGGCCGAGTTTGCCTAGGAAAGGCCTGGGGACTGGCTTTAAGTGGAAATTCAGCTTGGGGTTGTAACACGGTGCGGTGCGTGGACCACAGCACAACCGCCCCGCACTACACTCTCTGCTAAGGCACTCAGCACACACACACTCAGCACACCACACACAGCACACCACACACACACTCAGCACACCACACACACGCGCGCTCACCACACAGGTGCTCAGCACGCACGGACGCGCACTAACTGGCCGCCAACAACGCCGGCCTTTACGGGAGACTATCTTTGGCTCCGTGCGCCCGCGCAACCCCTCCCCTTGACCCCGCCCCCAACGCAGTCGTACTGGCAGCGGCTGGACGGGCAGCCCGCGACGCGCGAGCACCTGCTGATGGCGCTGGCGGACGTGGACGCGATCCTCGTGCGAGCCTCCTTCTCCACGGACATGGCGAGCGCCAGCATCGGCGACGTGTCACTCGAGACGGCGGTGCCGGGCGACACGGGCGGGGCGCGCGCGCTCCAGGTGGAGCAGTGCAGCTGCCCCGCCGCCTACACCGGACTCTCCTGCCAGGTGGGGGCCGCCGCCGACTCCGACCGGACCGCCGGCTGGCCGGCCGCCGTTGCCGAGCGGGCGGCCAGCTAGGCCGGAACGCGCGTCCGGGCGCTTCTGCGCAAGGGGGTTCGTGAGATACGGGAACACGGGGCCGGGACGGTCGCGTGCGTGTGTGTACGTGTGCGTGTGCGTACGTGTGCGTGTGCGTACGCGTGCGTGTGCGTGTGCGTAGGCGTGCGTGTGTTAGACGTGGGCGTGCACACACGCGTAACGGACGAGCTCGTGCGCACGGCGGTGATGTTGATGACTTTGTTGCGACATGATGACGATGTTCGTGACGATCATCAAGATGATGATGACGATGACTCGGTATGGGCTTTGCTCCGGGCTACACGTCAGCTGTGTATGTACAGTACGTTGAACTTCTTTGGCACCCTACGTGTAGCCAACCGCGCTAACCGGAGGTGCGGAGATGCTAACGATGATGTTAATGGCGACGGTGGCGGCGTGGGTTGCGTTGCAGGACTGCGCTGCGGGCTACACGCGCACCGGTGGAGGCCTCTACCTGGGCCTCTGTGAGATGTGCGACTGCAACGGCCACTCGGACAGCTGTGACCCGGAGACGGCGTCCTGCTCTGTGAGACAGCGGGAAACACACAGCATCCACTACACACAGCATCCACTACACACAGCATCCACTACACACAGCATCCACTACACACAGCATCCACTACACACAGCATACACACACACAGCATCCACTACACACAGCATCCACTACACACAGCATCCACTACACACAGCATCCACTACACACAGCATCCACTACACACAGCATACACTACACACAGCATACACACACACAGCATCCACTACACACAGCATCCACTACACACAGCATCCACTACACACAGCATCCACTACACACAGCATCCACTACACACAGCATACACTACACACAGCATACACACACACAGCATCCACTACACACAGCATCCACTACACACAGCATCCACTACACACAGCATCCACTACACACAGCATACACACACACAGCATCCACTACACACAGCATCCACTACACACAGCATCCACTACACACAGCATCCACTACACACAGCATCCACTACACACAGCATACACACAGCATCCACTACACACAGCATCCACTACACACAGCATCCACTACACACAGCATCCACTACACACAGTATCCACTACACACAGCATCCACTACACACAGCATCCACTACACACAGCATCCACTACACACAGCATCCACTACACACAGTATCCACTACACACAGCATACACTACACACAGCATACACTACACACAGCATCCACTACACACAGTATCCACTACACACAGCATACACTACACACAGCATACACTACACACAGCATACACTACACACAGCATACACACGGCATCCACTACACACAGCATACACTACACACAGCATACACTACACACAGCATACACTACACACAGCATACACACAGCATCTACTACACACAGCATCCACTACACACAGCATACACACACACCGCATCCACTACACACAGCATCTACTACACACATCATCTACACACACAGCATCTACTACACACAGCATACACTACACACAGCATACACACAGCATCCACTACACACAGCATCTACTACACACAGCATACACTACACACAGCATACACACAGCATCCACTACACACAGCATCTACTACACACAGCATACACTACACACAGCATACACACAGCATCCACTACACACAGCATCTACTACACACAGCATACACTACACACAGCATACACACAGCATCCACTACACACAGCATCTACTACACACAGCATACACACACACAGCATACACACAGCATCCACTACACACAGCATCCACTACACACAGCATCCACTACACACAGCATACACACAGCATCCACTACACACAGCATCTACACACACAGCATACACACAGCATCCACTACACACAGCATCCACTACACACAGCATACACACAGCATCCACTACACACAGCATCTACACACACAGCATACACACAGCATCTACTACACACAGCATCTACTACACACAGCATACACACAGCATCCACTACACACAGCATACACACAGCATCCACTACACACAGCATCTACTACACACAGCATACACTACACACAGCATACACACAGCATCCACTACACACAGCATCTACTACACACAGCATACACTACACACAGCATACACACAGCATCCACTACACACAGCATCTACTACACACAGCATACACACACAGCATACACACAGCATCCACTACACACAGCATCCACTACACACAACATACACACAGCATCCACTACACACAGCATCTACACACACAGCATACACACAGCATCCACTACACACAGCATCCACTACACACAGCATACACACAGCATCTACTACACACAGCATACACACAGCATCCACTACACACAGCATCCACTACACACAGCATCTACACACGCAGCATACACACAGCATCCACTACACACAGCATCTACACACACAGCATACACACAGCATCTACTACACACAGCATACACACAGCATCCACTACACACAGCATCCACTACACACAGCATCTACACACACAACATACACACAGCATCCACTACACACAGCATCTACACACGCAGCATACACACAGCATCCACTACACACAGCATCTACACACACAGCATCTACTACACACAGCATACACACAGCATCCACTACACACAGCATCCACTACACACAGCATCTACACACACAGCATACACACAGCATCCACTACACACAGCATCTACTACACACAGCATACACACAGCATCCACTACACACAGCATCCACTACACACAGCATCTACACACACAGCATACACACAGCATACACACAGCATCCACTACACACAGCATCCACTACACACAGCATCTACACACACAGCATACACACAGCATCCACTACACACAGCATCTACTACACACAGCATACACACAGCATCCACTACACACAGCATCCACTACACACAGCATCTACTACACACAGCATCTACTACACGCAGCATCTACTACACACATCATCTACACACATATCATCTACTACACACAGCACCCACCACACACAGCATCTACACACATAGCATCTACTACACACAGCATCCACTACACACAGCGTCCACTACACGCATCATCCACGACACACAGCATCTACACACACAGCATCCACTACACACAACATCTACTACACACAGCATCCACTACACACAGCATCTACTACACACAACATGTCTGTGTGTACGTGTGTGTGTACGTGTCTGTGTGTACGTGTCTGTGCGTACGAGTGTGTGTACGTGTCTGTGTGTGTGTGTGTACGTGTGTACCTGTGTGTGTACGTGTGTGTGTACGTGTGTACGTGTGTACGTGTGTGTGTACGTGTGTACGTGTGTGTGTACGTGTGTACCTGTGTGTGTACGTGTGTGTGTACGTGTGTACGTGTGTGTGTACGTGTGTACGTGTGTGTGTACGTGTGTGTGTACGTGTGTACGTGTGTGTGTACGTGTGTACGTGTGTGTGTACGTGTGTGTGTACGTGTGTATGTGTGTGTGTACGTGTGTATGTGTGTGTGTACGTGTGTGTGTACGTGTGTACGTGTGTGTGTACGTGTGTACGTGTGTGTGTACGTGTGTACGTGTGTGTGTACGTGTGTATGTGTGTACGTGTGTACGTGTGTGTGTACGTGTGTACGTGTGTGTGTACGTGTGTACGTGTGTGTGTACGTGTGTATGTGTGTGTGTGTACGTGTGTGTGTGTGTGTGTAGAGCTGCCAGCACCACACGACGGGCAGCTCGTGCGAGCGCTGCGAGCCCGGTTACTATGGCGATGCCACCCAGGGTACTCCTGAGGACTGCCAACCCTGCGCCTGCCCGCTCAGTAGCCACGGCAACCAGTGGGTGCCGCACACACAACCACACACACACAACCACACACACACATCCACACACATCCACACACACACATCCACCCACACACAGTGGGTCCCACACACACATCCACCCACACACAGCGGGTCCCACACAACAACAACAACCGCCATTCGCCACTAAGTGGTGGCGACGTCACCACGACGCTTGTGCCAGGCCATGTGCACCTTGAGGCCACGTGAAGTGTTGAACGCCCGCTGGCAGGAGGTCACGGGGCAGACCCAGGTGCCACGGGTCAACTGACTGAGATGACCGAGATGACTGGCTGATGCACCACCTGTGCCCCCTACTGTGCCAACTTGCTGTGCTTTAGCCACCCGGCGCTCCGCTCATTGTTGTGAGCGTTGCTCCTCCGTCCTCCATTGTTGCTGGAGGGCGACTGCCTCCAACTACCCAGTAGCATCCTTCACGAGCCTCCTCCACAGAGGCCGATCTTGACATCAGCAAGTCCACTCAGCTCCACGTCCTCCTGTACCACATCACTCCATCTCTTCTCTAGCCCGTGCCCGCCCGTTTAGCCCCCTCGATCCGGCCGAACAAAAGCTGTTTAGGCATGCTGTGACTGGGCATGCGGGCTACATGGCCCAGCCAATGCAGCCTTGCCTGCCGGAGGAGCTCACCGATGGGACTTTGTCCAGATCTTTCAAGGATTTGTGAGCTCCTCACACAATCCAGCCTGGTTAAACCCAGGATGGATCGTAGGCAGGCCAGCCTAAATGTTTCTAACCGGTGAAGATGCTCCATTAGGGGGGTCCACGTTTCGCAAGCGTAGAGAAGGGAGGTAATGACTGTGGCCGAGAAGACTTGAAGCACATCTACCCACACACAGTGGGTCTCGCACACACATCCACATACAGTGGATCTCACACACACATCCACACACACACAGCGGGTGCCGCACACACATCCACCCACACACAGTGGGTCTCACATACACATCCAGCGACACACCAGGTGCACACCGCAACGATGGAGACATGGGCAGCAGGGATGGAGTAGTGGTGAAACCCATCCTGCACAGCAATCAGCGCCTGGGTTCGATTCCCAACTCGGGCGCCTCTCCCCCTGTTTTGCATCGCTTTCCTGCGGCTTCTCCATTTTCCTGCCACTTGGACATAAAACGAGACAGAGATTCCCTCTGTAAGAATTAAGAGGCTGTTGGGGCAAGTGCTGTTGGCGAGGATGTACGAAGGCCGGCACGGCGCATGAGGGCTGGGTGGCTAGCACCACGCCTGACCGCCTCTGTCTCTCCACAGTGGCAATGTTCACACATCAGGTACTTATTGAATGTGAGTCGACCTAGGGGAGGCCCAGGACCAGTTCAGATATTCGCCACTGTTTTTGGCCGTGAGCGGGAATCGAACTCGGCACGCCAGGCATGTAGCACAGCGAAGCTGACCGCTACACTACCGTTGCATGGACACGCACGCACAACAACAACCGCCATCGCCACTAAGTGGCGGTGACGTCACCACAGCGCTTGTGCCAGGCTGTGTGCACGTTGAGGCCACGTGAAATGTCAAACGCCCGCTGGCGGGAGGTCACGGGGCAGACCCAGCAGGTGCCACACACGCACACACGCTTGCACACACCCCATACGTCCACACACGCCCTCTGCGCTCACCGCTAACCTCTGACCCCCACCGCCCTCCCCCAGGTTCTCCCCGAGCTGCGAGGGAGCCCCTGACGGGGGCTACCGCTGCACCGCGTGCCAGGCTGGGTACACGGGGCGCTACTGCGATCAGTACGTGGGGGTGGGCCACGACGACCAAAAGCCACGCCACAAACACTGCGACACGGCACTACTGGCACTGCACTACCGCACTACCGATATCGCACCACCACGCCACCAACACTGTGACACCGCACTACCGGCGCTGCACTACCGCACTACCGACATCGCACCACTACGCCACTAACACTGCGACACCACACTACCAGCACTCCCGCGGCTACCACGCAGCCGCGATGGCACTCACAGCACCGTCCCACCACTTTGCCCGTTCGATTGAGGGGTGTCGCGCCGTGTCTGTGTGTGGCGATACAGGTGCGCGCCCGGTTACCTGGGCAACCCCCGAACCCCGGGACAGCGGTGCGTCCTCGCAGGTGAGACCCCCTCACCTACGGGTACGTATTCATACAACACCCCCCCCCCCGCCCGTGTAGCCTGCACAGGCTGTTGGGGTGAGCGTTGGAGGTATATATGTGTGTGTGAATGTGTCCATGTGAATGTGCCTGTCTGTGTGTGTGGGTGTGTCTCTGCATGTGTGCGTGCGTATGGTGTAGCTCTACGAACCCGGCGACCCGAGTTCGATTCCCGCTCACAGCCACCAACGCCAGTGACGATTATCTGAACCGGTCCTGGGCCTCCCCTAGGTCGACTCAGCCTCAATTGAGTACCTAGTGCTATGTGTAAAAAAAATGCCACGAGGGATACAAAGGCGGCCGCGTGTGCCGTGCCGGCCTTTATAGGTGTTCACTAACAGCACTTGCCCCAACAGCCCGTTAAGGCTATACAGGGGATCTTTTGTCTTTGGTGTAGCGGTTAGCATGCCGCGCTACGTATCTCGCGACCCGAGTTCGATTCCCGTTCACGGCCAACACCAATGACTATTATCTGATCCGGTCCTGAGCCTCCCCTAGGTCGACTCAGCCTAAAATTAGTACCTGGTGCGGTGTGTAGTAAACATCGCCACTAGGGACACAAAGTCGGTCGGGCGTGGTGCTGGCCACCCACGCTCTCGTGTGCCGTGCCAGCCTTCATAGGTGCTCGCTAACAGCACTTGCCCCCACAGTCTGTTACAGGCTATACAGGAGATCTTTGTCTTTGTCCGTGCGTGCATGGGTGAGAATTGGGGGATCGGTGGTGCAGTGGTCAGCACAATGCACTATGAACCAAGTGACCCAAGTTCGATTCCCACTCACGGAAAATGACAGTGGAGAATATCTGAAGAGGTCCTGGGGCCTCCCCTAGGTCGACTCAGCCTTAAATGAGTACCTGGCATGATGTGTTGTCAACACCAGCACTGAGGAGACAAAGGCGGCCGGGCGTGGTGCTGGCCCCCCACCCCCTCGTGCGCCGTGCCCGCCTGCATAGACGCTCGCAACCAGAACTTTCCGCAACGGTATGTGAAGGCTACACGGGGGATCTTTGTCTTTGTATGGACACCAGACCGGACTCCGCTCTTGATAAGGATCGTGCCGGACCGCATCGTCGTGGCGACGGGAGATGGAGTCACCCTGCGTTGCCAGGCAACCGGGTCCTCTCCTGTTCGGTACGACTGGGCCCGCGCCGATGGGCAGGCCATCTCTGAAAGGGGGCAGATGAGACTGCAAGGTATGGCACTCACTCACGCACAAACACAACAACAACAATAACAACCGCCATTCGCCACTAAGTGGTGGTCACGTCACCACGGTGCTTGTGCCAGGCTATGTGTACTTTAAGGCCACATGAAGTCTTGAATGCCCGCTGGCAGGAGGTCACGGGAAAGACCGAGGTGCCATGGGTTGACTGGCTGAGATGACTGGCAGATGCACCACCCGTGCCCCCGACTGTGTTTTATCCGCCCGGCGCTCCGCTCGTTGTTGTGAGCGTGGCTCCTCCTCCCTCCATTGTTGCTGGAGGGCGAATGCCTCCAACTGCTCAGTAGCGTCCTTCATGAGCCTCCTCCATAGAGGCCGATCTTTAAACCGTTGGTACACTCAGTTCCATATCCATTCAGACCACATAATTCCATTTCTTCACTAGCCCATGCCGCGCCCACTTAGCCCCCTATATTTGGCCAAACAAAAACTGCTGGAGCAGATGACATACATGACCCAGCCAATGCAGCCTTGCCTGCCAGAGGAACTCGTCGATGAGACTGTGTACCGATCGTTCAAGGATTTATGAGCTCCTCACACAATCCAGCCTGGTCAGCCTGAATGTTTCTAACTGGTGAAGATGTTCCATGAGAGGGGTCCACATTTCGCAAGCATACGGAATGGAGGGTATGACCGTGGCCGAGAAGATTCGAAGCTTCGTATGGGGGGGATATGCCAGGTTGCTTCCACATTGCAGCGTTACGCAGCTGATGAAAAGATAATGCCGCCCGAGTGATTTCGCGTGAGACCTCTGCTGTCAAACCGAAGCTGGTTATAAGCACACCGCACAGAAACATAAACCTCTCCACTTTCTCCACAACTGCCCCACACGCACATGCACACACACACAACAACACAACAACACAACAACCGCCATTCGCCACTAAGTGGCGGTGACGTCACCACGACGCTTGTGCCAGGCCAAGTGCACCTTGAGGCCACGTGAAGTGTCGAACGCCCGCTGGCAGGAGGTCACGGGGCAGACCCAGGTGCCACGGGTCGACTGACCGAGATGACCGAGATGACTGGCTGATGCACCACCTGTGCCCCCTACTGTACCAACTAGCTGTGCTTTAGCCACCCGGCGCTCCGCTCGTTGTTGTGAGCGTCGCCACGCTCACCCTTACCTGCCGGAGGAGCTCACTGATGGGACTTTGCCCACACACACGCACACACACACGCACACACGCACGCACACACATACACACGCACACACATACACACACGCACACACACGCGCACACACACGCACACACACGCACACACACGCACACACACGCACGCACACACACACGCACATACACATGCACACACATACACATGCACACACATACAGTGGCCGAGTGCAGCCCAAAACGTTAAACGACCCCGACCCCGCCCCTCGCCCTCTACCCCTCGCCCTCCGACCCCACCCCTCACCTCCCACCCCTCGCCCTCTACCCCTTGCCCTCCGACCCCACCCCTCGCCTCCCACCCCTCGCCCTCTACCCCTCGCCCTCCGCCCCCACCCCACCCCTCACCTCCCACCCCTCCCCCTCTACCCCTTGCCCTCCGACCCCAGGCCAGGAACTGTCATTCCAGGACGTGCAGGCGTCGGATGGCGGGGTCTACGTGTGCACGTGCCAGAGCCGCACGGGCAGCAACTCCAGCCAGGCAACCATCACCGTCACCGGTGCGTGCGTGTCCATGTGTGTGTGTCCGTGTGTGTGCGTCCGTGTGTGTCCATGTGTGTGTGTCCGTGTGTGTGTACGTGTGTGTGTCCGTGTGTGTCCATGTGTGTGTGTCCGTGTGCGTGTGTGTGTGTACGTGTGTGTGTGTGTCCTAATAGGGAGTGGCAGTGTAGCCGTTAGCGTTACGAGCCTGGCGACTCGAGTTCGATTCCCGCTCACGGCCAACACCGGTGACGATTATCTGAACCGGTCCTGGACCTCCACGTGGTCGACTCAGCCTCAAAATGAGTACCTGGTCGTGACTAGAGAGACAACGGCGGCCGAGCGCGGTGCTGGCCACCCCCCTCCCCCCCCTTAATTGTGCACCGCGCCGGACTTCATAGATGCTACTCGCTAAACAACACTTGCCCCAACAGTCTGTTTCTTGCTATACGGGGAATCTTTATCTTTGTGTGTGCGCCGCACAGCACGCACACGCCGGCCGATCACGGTGCGCGTGGAGGAGCCGATCGTGCGCGTCGTGCGGCCGGGAGGAACGGTCACCTTCATCTGCACGGCCGTGAGCACGGTGAGACCCGGCCACGCCGCTCACGCACTCACGCACTCACCCTCTCACCCACTCACCCACTCACCCTCTAAACCACTCACCCACTCACCCACTCACCCACTCACTCTCTCACCCACTCACCCTCTCACCCACTCACCCACTCACTCTCTCAAGCACTCACCCACTCACCCACTCAACCCCTCACTCTCTCACCCACTCACCCTCTCACCCACTCACCCACTCACTCTCTCACGCACTCACCCACTCACCCACTCACCCACTCACTCTCTCACCCACTCACCCTCTCACCCACTCACCCACTCACCCTCTCACCCACTCACCCACTCACCCACTCACCCTCTCACCTTCTCACCCTCTCACCCACTCAACCCCTTACTCTCTCACACACTCACCCACTCACCCACTCACCCACTCACTCTCTCACTCTCTCACCCACTCACCCACTCACTCTCTCAACCTCTCACCCACTCACCCTCTCACTCTCTCACCCACTCACCATCTCAACCCCTCACTCTCCCACCCATTCACTCTCTAACCAACTCACCCTCTCACCCACTCACCCTCTCACCCACTCACCCACTCACCCTCTCAACCTCTCACCCACTCACCCTCTCACCCACTCACACACTCACCCTCAACTCCTCAACCTCTCAACCCCTCACTCACTCACCCTCTCACCCACTCACCCACTCACCCTCATCTCCTCACCCTCTCAACCCCTCACTCACTCACTCACTCACCCACTCAACCACTCACTCTCTCACCCTCTCACCCACTCACCCTCTCAGCCCCTCACCCTCTCACCCACTCACCCTCTCACCCACTCATCCACTCACCCACTAACTCTCTCACCCACTCACTCTCTCACCCACTCGCCCTCTCACCCACTCACCCTCTCACCCACTCACCCACTCACCCTCAACTCCTCACCCTCTCAACCCCTCACTCACTCACCCACTCACCCATTCAACCACTCACACTCACACCCACTCACCCACTCACCCTCTCAACCCCTCACTCACTCACCCACTCACCCACTCAAACACTCACTCTCTCACCCTCTCACCCACTCACCCTCTCAACCCCTCACCCTCTCACCCACTCACCCTCTCACCCACTCATCCACTCACCCACTCACTCTCTCACCCACTCACTCTCTCAACCCCTCACCCACTCACCCCCTCACCCACTCAGCCTCTCACCCTCTCACCCTCTCACCCTCTCACTCTCTCACCCACTCACCCTCTCAACCCCTCACTGTCTCACCCACTCACCCTCTCAACCCCTCACCCACTCACCCACTCACCCACTCACCCACTCAGCCACTCACCCACTCACTCTCTCACCCACTCACGCTCTCACCATCTCACCCTCTCAACCTCTCACTCTCTCACCCATTCACCCTCTCAACTCCTCACCCTCTCACCCCCTCACCCACTCACCCACTCACCCTCTCACCCACTCACACTCTCACTCTCTCACCCACTCACCCTCTCACCCTCTCACCCACTCACCCACTCACCCACTCACTCTCTCACCCACTCACTCTCTCACTCTCTCACCCACTCACCCTCTCACCCTCTCATCCGCTCACCCGCTCACCCTCTCACCCACTCACCCACTCACACTCTCACTCTCTCACCCACTCACCCTCTCACCCACTCAGCCTCTCACCCACTCACCCTCTCACCCACTCATTCTCTCACCCACTCACCCACTCACCCACTCACTCTCTCAACCCCTCACTCTCTCACTCTCTCACCCACTCACCCACCCACTCACTCACTCACTCACCCACTCACTCACTCACTCACTCTCTCACCCACTCACTCACTCACCCACTCACTCACCCACTCACCCACTCAAACACTCACTCTCTCACCCTCTCACCCACTCACCCTCTCAACCCCTCACCCTCTCACCCACTCACCCTCTCACCCACTCACCCTCTCAACCCCTCACCCTCTCACCCACTCACCCTCTCACCCACTCATTCTCTCACCCACTCACCCACCCACTCACTCACTCACCCACTCACTCACCCACTCACCCACTCAAACACTCACTCTCCCACCACTCACTCACTCACTCTCTCACCCACTCACTCACTCACCCACTCACTCACCCACTCACCCACTCAAACACTCACTCTCTCACCCTCTCACCCACTCACCCTCTCAACCCCTCACCCTCTCACCCACTCACCCTCTCACCCACTCACCCTCTCAACCACTCACCCTCTCACCCACTCACCCTCTCAACCCCTCACCCTCTCACCCACTCACCCTCTCACCCACTCACCCTATCAACCACTCACTCTCTCACCCACTCACCCTCTCAACCCCTCACTCTCTCACCCACTCACCCTCTCACCCACTCACCCTCTCACCCACTCACCCACTCACCCTCTCACCCACTCACCCTCTCACCCACTCACCCTCTCACCCACTCACCCTCTCACCCACTCACCCTCTCACCCACTCACCTCACCCACTCACCCTCACCCACTCACCCTCTCAACCCCTCACTGTCTCACCCACTCACCCTCTCAACCCCTCACCCTCTCACCCACTCACCCTCTCACCCACTCACCCTCTCACCCACTCACCCTCTCACCCACTCACCCTCTCACCCACTCACTCTCTCACCCACTCACCCTCTCAACCCCTCACTGTCTCACCCACTCACCCTCTCAACCCCTCACCCTCTCACCCACTCACCCTCTCACCCACTCACCCTCTCACCCACTCACCCTCTCACCCACTCACCCTCTCACCCACTCACTCTCTCACCCACTCACCCTCTCAACCCCTCACTGTCTCACCCACTCACCCTCTCAACCCCTCACCCACTCACCCACTCACCCACTCACCCACTCAGCCTCTCACCCTCTCACCCTCTCACCCTCTCACTCTCTCACCCACTCACTCTCTCACCCACTCACCCACTTAGCCACTCACCCACTCACTCTCTCACCCACTCACCCTCTCAACCTCTCAACCTCTCACTCTCTCACCCACTCACCCACTCAACCTCTCACTCTCTCACCCACTCACCCACTCACCCACTCACTCTCTCACTCACTCACCCTCTCAACCCCTCACTCACTCACCCACTCACTCTCTCACTCACTCACCCACTCAGCCTCTCACCCTCTCACCCTCTCAACCCCTCACTCACTCACCCACTCACTCTCTCACTCACTCACCCACTCAACCCCTCACTCTCTCACCCACTCACCCACTCACCCACTCACTCTCTCACCCACTCACCCTCTCACCCTCTCACTCTCTCACCCACTCACTCTCTCACCCACTCACTCTCTCACCCACTCACTCTCTCACCCACTCACTCTCTCACCCACTCACTCTCTCACCCACTCACCCACTCACTCTCTCACCCACTCACCCACTCACTCTCTCACCCACTCACTCTCTCACCCACTCACCCACTCACCCACTCACCCACTCACTCTCTCACCCACTCACCCACTCACCCACTCACCCACTCACTCTCTCACCCACTCACCCTCTCAACCCCTCACTCTCTCACCCACTCACTCTCTCACCCACTCACCCTCTCACTCTCTCACCCACTCACCCACTCAACCTCTCACTCTCTCACCCACTCACCCACTCAACCACTCAACCTCTCACTCTCTCACCCACTCACCCACTCACCCACTCACCCACTCAACCTCTCATTCTCTCACCCACTTACCCACTCACCCACTCACCCTCCCACTCTCTCACTTTCTCACCCACTCACCCACTCACCCACTCACCCTCTCAACCCCTAACTCTCTCACCCTCTCAACCCCTCACTCTCTCACCCACTCACTCACTCACCCACTCACTCGCCCGCCCACTCGCTCCCACCCTTACGCACGCTCACGCGGTCCTTCTGTGCCCGTCCTCCCTGCGGCCCAGCTGCCCGCGTACACGCTGGTGTGGACGCGCGACAGCGACGGGATGCTGCCCGTGCACGCCCAGGACTTCAACGGCATCCTCACCATCGTGGGCGCCCGCAGCACCGACGCCGGCTCCTACACCTGCACCGGCTCCAACATGCTGGACATGGACACGGGACGCGCGCTGCTGCACGTGCAAGGTGAGGCACGCTCACCCTCCACGCTCACCTGCCACGCTCACCCGCCGCGCTCATCCTCCGCGCTCACCCCCCGCGCTCACCCACCACGCTCACCCTCCACACTCACTCACCATGCTCACCCGCCGCACTCGCCCTCCACGCTCACCCTCCACGCTCACACCACCGCGCCACTCACACCACCGTGCTCACCACGTAGTGCTCGCCAGAATCCACCACTCACTGGTGTTGTTGGTCGTGAGCCGGAATCGAACTTGGGTCACCGGGTTCATACTGTAGAGCGCTAACCACTACACTACCGCTCCCCACGCGCACGCACAGACACACGCACACACACGCGTGCAGATGCGCACACACATGCATGCAGACGCGCATACACACGCACGCACACACACAATCCCTGCCATCATCTCACTGCCGCTGAAGTCCCTCTTCACTCGGGGTGTCGTCACTCATCCCGTCACCCATCACGTGACCTATCACGTCACCCATCACGTCACTCATCACGTGACCCATCACCCATCACGTGACCCATCACGTGACCCATCACGTGACCCATCACGTGACCCATCACGTCACTCATCACGTGACCCATCACCCATCACGTGACCCATCACGTCACCCATCACGTGACCCATCACGTGACCCATCACGTCACCCATCACGTCACCCATCACGTCACCCATCACGTGACCCATCACGTCACCCATCACGTCACCCATCACGTGACCCATCACGTGACCCATCACCCATCACGTCACCCATCACGTGACCCATCACCCATCACGTGACCCATCACGTCACCCATCACGTCACCCATCACGTCACCCATCACGTGACCCATCACGTGACCCATCACGTCACCCATCACGTCACCCATCACGTGACCCATCACGTGACCCATCACCCATCACGTCACCCATCACGTGACCCATCACGTCACCCATCACGTGACCCATCACGTCACCCATCACGTGACCCATCACCCATCACGTCACCCATCACGTGACCCATGACGTGGTAACGATCACCACATTGCCAACATTGAGCGTGCCGGGCTAAACGGTAGCGGTGCTAGTGGAGGTGGTGACGACGTGTGGCTGACTGTACTAACACCACGGCTACGTGCTGTGTTTAACCCGTAATGCGCTTCATTGACACGGGCAGTTGCCGCTTGGCTAACGCGCGGCGTGTGTGTGCGCACGTCCGTGCGTGTGTGTGTGTGCGTGTACGTGCGAGGTGCGCTCCCGTGCGTGCGTGCAAATGTGCGTGGAGAGCTTCTTTGCCTGCGCGTGCTTCTGCGTGCCTGTTTGTGTCTGTGCTTGGGTGTCCGCGTCTTCTGTGTGTGTGTGCCCGTGCGCGTGTGCCCGTGCGTGCGTGCATGCCAGTTGCTACCGGCGGGCCCCACCTCAGAGACCAGGGCGGCCGCGATGCCTCTGAACTAACGCACGACCAAACCGCCGTCCGTCTCAGGCTGAGAACGTGCAGAGAGAACGTGTAACCACTTCCCCCGTGACCCCCGTGACCCCCGTGACCCCCTTGTCTCCAGCGCCCGTGACCCCGTGCCCTCGTGCCCCTATGCCCCCCTGACCCCATGCCCCCGTGAATGTGACTGTGGTGCTATGCCAATCATTTGTGATACCAAAAGGTGCTAAGGGGGCAACTCCGTGCGCCGCCCCCCCCCCCCCCTCGTGTTCGTGACGTCACATAAGCCCCCCCACAACCTGCGACCCTCGCTGCGCACTCGTACACACACAGACACACGTCGACACACACAGACACACGTCGACACACGCACTCGTACACACACAGACACACGCACTCGTACACACACAGACACACACACTCGTACACACACAGACACACACACTCGTACACACACAGACACACACACTCGTACACACACAGACACACACACTCGTACACACACAGACACACACACTCGTACACACACAGACACACACACTCGTACACACACAGACACACACACTCGTACACACACAGACACACACACTCGTACACACACAGACACACGCACTCGTACACACAGACACACGTCGACACACGCACTCGTACACACACAGACACACACACTCGTACACACAGACACACGCACTCGTACACACACAGACACACACGCTCGTACACACACAGACACACACACTCGTACACACACAGACACACACACTCGTACACACACAGACACACGCACTCGTACACACACAGACACACACGCTCGTACACACACAGACACACACGCTCGTACACACACAGACACACACACTCGTACACACACAGACACACACGCTCGTACACACACAGACACACACACTCGTACACACACAGACACACACGCTCGTACACACACAGACACACGCACTCGTACACACACAGACACACACGCTCGTACACACACAGACACACACACTCGTACACACACAGACACACGTCGACACACGCACTCGTACACACACAGACACACGCACTCGTACACACAGACACACACACTCGTACACACACAGACACACGTCGACACACACAGACACACACACTCGTACACACACAGACACACACACTCGTACACACAGACACACACACTCGTACACACAGACACACGCACTCGTACACACACAGACACACGCACTCGTACACACAGACACACGCACTCGTACACACACAGACACACGCACTCGTACACACACAGACACACGTCGACACACGCACTCGTACACACAGACACACACACTCGTACACACAGACACACACACTCGTACACACACAGACACACGCACTCGTACACACAGACACACACACTCGTACACACAGACACACGCACTCGTACACACACAGACACACGCACTCGTACACACAGACACACGCACTCGTACACACACAGACACACGCACTCGTACACACACAGACACACGTCGACACACGCACTCGTACACACAGACACACACACTCGTACACACACAGACACACACACTCGTACACACACAGACACACACACTCGTACACACACAGACACACGCACTCGTACACACACAGACACACTCGTACACACACAGACACACGCACTCGTACACACACAGACACACGCACTCGTACACACACAGACACACGCACTCGTACACACACAGACACACACACTCGTACACACACAGACACACACACTCGTACACACACAGACACACACACTCGTACACACACAGACACACGCACTCGTACACACACAGACACACGCACTCGTACACACACAGACACACACACTCGTACACACACAGACACACGCACTCGTACACACACAGACACACGCACTCGTACACACACAGACACACGCACTCGTACACACACAGACACACACACCCGTACACACACAGACACACACACTCGTACACACACAGACACACACACTCGTACACACACAGACACACGCACTCGTACACACACAGACACACTCGTACACACACAGACACACGCACTCGTACACACACAGACACACGCACTCGTACACACACAGACACACACACTCGTACACACACAGACACACGCACTCGTACACACACAGACACACTCGTACACACACAGACACACACACTCGTACACACACAGACACACGCACTCGTACACACACAGACACACTCGTACACACACAGACACACGCACTCGTACACACACAGACACACACACTCGTACACACACAGACACACACACTCGTACACACACAGACACACACACTCGTACACACACAGACACACGCACTCGTACACCACACAGACACACACACTCGTACACACACAGACAACACACACTCGTACACACACAGACACACACACTCGTACACACACAGACACACACACTCGTACACACACAGACACACACACTCGTACACACACAGACACACGCACTCTTACACACACAGACACACACACTCGTACACACACAGACACACACACTCGTACACACACAGACACACACACTCGTACACACACAGACACACGCACTCGTACACACACAGACACACACACTCGTACACACACAGACACACACACTCGTACACACACAGACACACACACTCGTACACACACAGACACACGCACTCGTACACACACAGACACACACACTCGTACACACACAGACACACACACTCGTACACACACAGACACACACACTCGTACACACACAGACACACGCACTCGTACACACACAGACACACACACTCGTACACACACAGACACACACACTCGTACACACACAGACACACACACTCGTACACACACAGACACACACGCTCGTACACACACAGACACACACACTCGTACACACACAGACACACGCACTCGTACACACACAGACACACACGCTCGTACACACACAGACACACACACTCGTACACACACAGACACACGCACTCGTACACACACAGACACACACACTCGTACACACACAGACACACACACTCGTACACACACAGACACACACACTCGTACACACACAGACACACACACTCGTACACACACAGACACACGCACTCGTACACACACAGACACACGCACTCGTACACACACAGACACACACACTCGTACACACACAGACACACACACTCGTACACACACAGACACACACACTCGTACACACACAGACACACACACTCGTACACACACAGACACACGCACTCGTACACACACAGACACACACACTCGTACACACACAGACACACACACTCGTACACACACAGACACACACACTCGTACACACACAGACACACACACTCGTACACACACAGACACACACACTCGTACACACACAGACACACGCACTCGTACACACACAGACACACGCACTCGTACACACACAGACACACACACTCGTACACACACAGACACACACGCTCGTACACACACAGACACACACACTCGTACACACAGACACACGCACTCGTACACACACAGACACACACACTCGTACACACACAGACACACACACTCGTACACACACAGACA